TCTTTTGTTTTTTCGTGGTTTTTCTTCATATCTGTCAATCGGATAGACCCATAAATGATTTCCATCCAGGTACGTTCTTGATTATTGTGTAACCTTATCTAATAATAGAAGTATCGAATCGGTTTATGATGTAATCATTTCTATCCTTCTATAGAAATATATTTTCCATATAACTATAAATATGGGTTTATAGTGAATGATTTCATCGAAAGGAAAATTTTTCTTCATTGAATTCTCTTTATTTTCATTCAATAACACAGTAGGTTATTTTAATTATGTTACATATTATAGTTTAATTAATCAAATTTATCAGAAGGGGTTTTGTGGAGATTGTAGTAATTTCAATAATTGAAATCATGAGTCAATTGAAGCTAGACCACTATGGAAAAACTGGAAGCATTGGACGACCGTTTTGTCCTGTTGTAGGACTTCTCAGCAGTGCGTATCCACGACCCCGCCCTCCACGAGATTCGAACCCAGGGCCTATTAGTCTCGCACGCGTGGGTTTAACCACTAGATCACTGAGCCGGCGTCCAACAGTGCTTATATCTAACTTCAACCAACCCACGAAATTGCGCCACCGTACACCATCGTCTTCAGGGAGCTGATATCTCACAACAGACCTGATTGAACTCCACAGGTCACAGCTTCTCACTAGAACTCCAGGAAATACCTCTTGAAGTCAGTCTCTAGTGAGCAGATGATTATTATCAGAAGGGGTTTTGTGGAAATTTTAGTAATTTCAATAGTTGAAATAATGAGTCAATTGAAGCTAGACCTGGAAGCACTGAACGGCCGTTTCGTAAAACTTATCTTTTTTTCTATTTGATAACTAGAAAATTAATTAGCCACTGAACTAATAATAATAATAAACCGATAGTCCTCGGGTACGAATCCTGCGAGCGGGATCGTGGATGCACGCTGCTGGGGAGGACGAAACTGTCTCTTAGTGCTATTAAATCACTAAAATCTCCACAAAGCCTCCTTCTGATATTAATGTCAGTGTAGAAAATCTTGTTTGATTAGTACTCGTAATTCAGATATTTGTATAGCAACCATTTTGATAGTTTGTTTATCTGATCTCTTCAAAATATTTCTCAATGATCATTTAGTTAGTTTTTTTCTTCAGATCAATATATAAATGTGTAAGATATGTTTACTCAATTCACTCGGTGCTGTTTTACTTGTATCTTCCCATTGTTATTCAGAACTACAATTGATCAGTCTCATGTTGGCATATATGCGGATTGCCTCGATATAGCCTTAAGTCACAAGCTTTTTAGGCGAAGATCGATAGTGGCTAGCAGTGGGATCCAGTTTGACGCGCATTTCATTCTATTTGGAACTCGCCGACTGGATGTACGTGCATCTCAGAGTTGATGTTGTTTCTAGGACTCGAACCCAGTGTTTACTATACTCTATATATGTAATCGTATAGTGAGTTCTGTGTAAAGTGTTGAATGCTTGTAGTTTAAAACTGCGAATCGATCATAGTTAGACAATCCTTGAAAACTAACACATACTGGACAATTTTGTTATTGTAGTATTTGACTCATTAACAGTTTGTACATACCATCCATATTATAATAAAATCGATATCCAGTGATTCTTGGTTTTCACTGATTATCTAACTAACATAAGACCGTAAATTTAACGAGATTCACTGACTGAAGTTAGACATTACCACTGTTGGATACCTGCTCAGTGGTCTAGAGATTAAGCGTTCGCGCGCGAAACTGAAGGCCCTGGGTTGGAATCCTACGAGCGTGCTCGTGGATGCGTACTGCTGAGGAGACCCACAATAGGACGAAATGGCCGTCCAGTGCTTCCACATTTTCAATATTGGTCTAACATCAATCGGTTCACGATCTCAATCAAAAATTAAGTCTTTTTTCAGACGTTGTGATCACGAGTGAACTGAAGCCAGACCATCATGGAAAACCTGGAAGCGCTGGACGACTGTTTCGCTCTAGTATGAGACTCCTCTACAATGCGCATCCACGATCCCGCCCCTCGAGATTCGAACCCAAGACCTATCAGTCTCGCGCGCGAACGCTTAACTTCCAGACCACTGAGCCGTCAATCCAACAGTGTTAATGTCTAACTTCAATTAGTCCACAAAATTGAGCGACACCGTCTACCATTGGCTTCAGTGAGTTACTATCTCACAACTGACCCGGTTGAACTCCACTAGTCACCACTTTTCACTAGAACTCCAGGATGTACAACTTGAAGCCATTAACTAGTGAACATATGTTGATTAGTATGAAAAGTGGTTCTTTTCGATTCAAACTTATTTAAAATAGCATTTAGAAAATTAAGATAAAACAAATATATTTCATGCAAAACTCTAAACAATACATTAGTCAATGCATAATTTATATATATAAATATATACGTATAATAACATAACAATAATATTATCCTGTCTAACAACAATACTATTCCATTGAATTCATTCAACATAAGATCACATTAAACACATATTAAATTGAATGTTACTATAAACTATGAACGAAAATTTGTCGTTCTCTATTATTCACCAACAATATGAATTTGAAATTATCGAAAGTAGAGAAAAAAACAATAAAAGAAAAAAAAGGAAACAAAGAAAAACAAACATCATTCAAAATACCAAATAGGTTAAGCATTCAAAATAAAGTTTAAATTTACATTCAAGATAAGCGCTTATGTTAAATAATGAATGAGAAAATAGGATTAATTCATAATAATAATAATAATAATAATCATATTTAGGTATATAGTTGCACCAAAAAAGGTAAGTATAGGAAAATAATAAATTCAAAAGTACTGTCATTTATCATTTTGGTTTATTATGACAGTTATGAATGTGTTTAGTTAATGATAATTAAACAATAGTTAAGTTCGGTTAGTAATTTCTTTTTTTCTTTTTTTGTTTTGTTTTTGTTTTTTTTAAATTTTATTTTGGTTTAATTAAATTTATTCTTCACCATCTAATATATAAGAGAAAAAAGAGAATATAATGGATTATGTAGATAAACAATGGTGAAGGGAAAGAAATTTAACAGAATAATGAAAGTAAATTGGTGAAATTAGATCTTTCGAACCATATATATATATATATATATATATATATATATATATATATATATACCCTTGTGGGGAAGGGTAATTTTACATTGATTTTCAGGAGATCTAGACACCATCCCGACTTTCATATGACATTACAAACAGTACAGCTTAATCCCGTTTAACAGGAGAATCAGACACCGTATAGACTTTAAGGCTATAATCTGAATAGTACAGCTCAATCCTGTTGCGCAATCATACAGGTACCAAACAATATGGTAAGGATATAGTTGAAAAAAAACAATAAGTGTGTAATTTAAGAATTTCCACTGTAATCTTGTTTTATCAAGATGAAAGAAATGATTTAGAAAAAGTTGGACTGAAAAGTAGCACACCTTATCTTTTTTTCCTTCGAATAGAATTCCTTCTTTCAGAGATAATGTAGTGTTTGCTACTTATATCGATATGAGTAGTATATAACGATAGTCTGGCAGTAAAATGTCGTGAATGAAAGAACGGGAACAGAACGCAATTGATATAAGAATGGGAGAACAATGAAATGTGACACAATTGATTGGTGTTTGCAAAAGGAACAGTAAGTTTTGAGATAATTAAATAGTCATTGTATGGTTCTCAAATTTTACTAAGGCGTTCTGTAATTTTGTGTTCAAATACATTTGATTGTCTTCACTTATGTCCTCGTTTACTACAATAAAACTTTAAGAGTATTGGGTGAACAGATTAGAGACTATAGTCGACCTCAAGCAGTTGTTTCTAGGTCATTGTAGCTATGCTAATCCGATTTCAGTTTCAGGCACTCTAAAGAGAAGTATTTTGTTACGTAATGTAATCAGAATGTAACAACCGATCACACATCTCTAACAGCACTTGAGTTAGCCTTGTTTTTGATCGTATTCACCTTTTACTCTCAAACATTTTGTCAATTTCCATTATGAATTCTCTTCTTATGACTTCATCTTTATCCCAATACTCTATTTACATTAAAGTTTCGAGTTCATGGACTGTTATTCTTCATTTATCTCAGAGAACTTTCACTGAACTACAATTATTCTCTCTCATATAGGTCTTTCAAAATCATCAAAGAGAAATGATTTACTTTACAGTATCAATAGTACTATTGTTTTAAAAATATGCAACCATGGTCTATATAAGCTCATCTTGAAATTAAAGTTAAATTATTGATAACATATTTTCAAAGCCTACACTTTTGAAATAAATTAAGAATTGAACATTAAAAAAACAAAAAAACAAAACAAAAGCAGTTACATTTAATGAAAATACTACTGTTTCAATAATGAATCGATTCATATAAACCTCAGAACTAAATTATATTTAATGCATTAGTTTATAGGATAGAACAGAAAGCAAAACACCTCATGTATTGTATTCACAAATTCATTCTATATAAAAGTATTTCTATCATGACAAAATAATATATATCTAATAAATATATTGTTTTCTGTTATGTTCTAATGAATAGAAAAGTTATATTTCTGACGTTTCGTAACTTAACATAAGTCACTTCTTCAAAGTAAATAAATGGCCGAATCAAATGAACATAAGTTTCAATAGTTACAAAGGAAACAATGAAGAATATTTTTGGTATAATCAATCATAATAATAATAATCCGAATTTGTCAATGTCAAGTTATTCTTGGTCAAAATGGATTTGCATGACCTGTGGAAAATAAATAATCTACGTAAAGACATACATACATACATACACACACACACACACCTAATTTCAACCCCACTATTTGATATTACAATTGTATACATTTTGACATAATAATGAAAATGGATGTAAATAGGCTAGTTAAAAGTAATTGATTTCTAGACTAAAGTGTTAAACATCTAATATTAACTATAAGTAAAACTGAGAGACTAATATTTTATTGACTATAGTTGATGAGTATTATATCTACAACTTACCCTGTCAATTATAATCCAAATAATGAATAATAAAAAAATCAGATAAAGCGGATTAATTAGTAAGGCAGGAAAAAAGTACATTTCGATTACAACTTTCAACAACAACAACAAAAATACTTTCGTCATTTAAATAATTATCCACCTCAGGGTTGCGTAAGATTATAGATCGATTAAAGTTAGATATTAACACCGTTGGATGCCGGTTCAGTGGTCTAGAGGTTAAGAGTTTGCGAGTGAAGACAAAGGTCTCGGGTTCGAACCCTGTGTGTGCGATCATGGGCGTACACTGTTGGGGAGTTACATACTTGGGCGAAACGACCCTCCAGTGGTTCCAGGTTTCCAATGGTGATCTTGCTTAGATCGACTCCTGAATTCAACTATTAAAATTACTATGATCTTCACGAAGCCCTATACTGATTTAAAAATAATTATCAGTTAAAACAAGAAATAGGCAGAGATTTCTAAACCTGCTTATTAAAAAATATTAAACTAATAAAATCAATGAATGATTTAGGTATCATTTTTTATTCACTAAAGTTTATGTATATTCAGTATCATTTCATTGTTACTTGTTCTGTGTATACAGCTTAAATAACCGTAAATAAAGGGGAATTTGCAGATTACAAATGAAGAATTTGAGAATCACTATCTTTATTCAAGATTTATTTGTAATTTGAGTAGTACTGTGGTGTGTAGTACTGATGTTGATAGATATAAGTAGTATGTATCATTAGTCGAAAGTGAAATACCTGGCAGCAGAAGGTTAAGAAGATCAAAGAAAAGAGAATGAGAACGAAAAATGTTTAGTGTGGAAACGAAAGAACAATGAGATGATTGACTGATATTTGCAAAATGAACAATCAATTTAGAGATAATTGATTGACATTTTGCAAAGTATTTACTGTATGGTTCTCAGATTTTGTGTTCAAATACATCCAAATAACCTTACTTGTGTTCTCATTCACTATAGTACTTAATTCATTCAATAATTACATAAACTAATGTCATTTTATTTCATGATATTTAGGTAATAACAATCTTGTCCTCTTCAAAATACTTTATTGTTATGTTAATGCATCTGTCTTATCTCTTTAATCATAATTTAGATTATCCCTAAGGGTCATCCAAAATCATATACTTCAGTAGCCTTAACTATTTACTTTTTATCCTCTTCATATCAGTCCACTTCTACACATAAATGATAATTTCATGTATAAGGAAAGAAATGAAATCAAATAAGACTATATCTAGTAAGTAGGTAAGGTATGTTAGTGTGGTGATTGACTTAACTCTCTTAACTTTAAAGCTAACAACATTCGGTTGGTTTAGCTACATTATTCTAGTGTAGTGGCCATTAATCATGATTACAGACATTTTAGTGGGACGTAATTTAAAATAATTCCTTCTGAAACAGAAAAAGTTATCACAATAAAACAAGAAAGTAAATAAAATGAACCGAGCTGAACAATTATTACAAGGTACAACAAAACTAATTAATTAGGGATTATAGACATTTCTGCAAAGAAATCTTTATGTTTGTTGATTAGAAGTTATATAATGTCAGGGCGTTAGGATTAGACTAACTGTTGGGTGGTAAACGATGAAACATCGTGCAACTGAACATTTGTTTTGTTATATCTATAACTAATAATCTATATAACCCACTGAACATATTTATTGTACGGATAATGTAAAGTTTTCATTTGACTATTTGTTTCTTTTTTTTTTGCTATGACAATAATGTAACAAATTATACACCAGTTTATTATGACTACTGACTTCAAAGAATTGTTTTATGTCTCTTAGCTTGATGTATATTAAAATATATAGGTCCTTTCTTTTTATTGCCTAGTTTGTTTTTGTTTATAGTATATATAACTTATACATTTCTCTACTATAAATTACAATTCAAACATTTAATATCAACGATCACTGTAGTGTAGCACTTATAGTCTGATTCATGACTGCATATTTTGTGTATATTTACTTAAAGTAATTAAAAAAGAGGACGTACAATTTAAATGTACGTTACTTGCTTACTAGTCAAGTTTTTGAAAAGTGAGTCGTCAAATTTATATGTAAAAACATTCTAGTTTAAGTACAACATCTTCTATGAAAAAGATATATGATTCCAATAATTCTGTTATATTTATAACAGAATTATAAAACAATTAGTATATTTATGCACCCAAATGCCATGGTATGGCCGAGGGTGGGGAGAGTCAGCTCTCCCTCTCCAAATGCTCTCATATGGCAATGCGTATACAGCCACTCCCAAGGAAGTCTTACTTGCTGCCTTCTCGCGGCATTACTGTTGTTTACGAAATTGGGATGGTGGATATGGAGGATCCACCTAGGGGAGTTGGAAAACTTTGATTCCAAACTTGTGGTGCATATGGGCTACAGGATCCTGAAGGAACAAATGGCGTATGAACCAATTGTAGGTCACCGGCTACCATGGGACTAACGTTGTGGATTAGATCTTCAGCTCAAACGCTCCTGGTGTGATCTCTTAAGATAACCACCTGCTTCGGTCTGGGCACCCGAGCAGTATCATAGCCCACACACATGAAGTGAATTTGTAGAAGAAAAAGAATCATCAATATAACCATTGTTTTTTATGTATAAACTTGTCAGTAATTTCATTTATCAACGCAATTACTCATGGAAGACAAGTAAATATACTGAATAAAAGTAATTTTTTCGATTGATAAGTTAATAAAATATTAAATACAAGATGCGTATCGGTGAATTTGAAGCCTATCCGATTTCGATGTTTGATTTATGATAGATATCATGCATTTTCAGTCATTTTTCCTTTTATTTAAGCAGAGGGTGTTGCATGTAAAAGCATTGTTCTAACTGAGGATTTCATTCATATTGAAATGGTTTACAGTGACGACATGATGGAACACTTATGTTAGATAGTTTTAAATGATTAAAATAAAATCCTCAGTGTAAAGTATGCTCTTGTATTCAATATTCATCATTTGAATGAACCTAAGAATACTTGAAAATACGTGATATAGTACTTTTACTGAATATTCAATAAAGAATGGTTAACCTCACAGTACCTGAAGATACTGGTATTTCGTGAATAAAACTGACAATAAGTGTATGCAGAACAACTGTAAAAGATCTGATTTTCGATAAAAGATTAAGTGGCGAGATTTTAAGTAATGACTACATTTTATTCTATAAACGAAAGTTATCCTAACTATAAATGTATTATTTGAAAATTGAAAAAACGTTTATATGATAGAAATCTTCGATTAAAATGTGTAATATAACTTGACTTTCGATATTTTGCTGGTATGAATCGATAAGTGAATAAGTGGTCAATCATTTGTAAATACATCTCAGTTATGTAAGAGTTCAATCTCGGTGCAACTAGCTTCGAGGTAAATCCTCTAACTATGAAGCTATGTGACACGGGATTTAATTCGTTAAAAAGTATCATTTCCTTGAAAATTACAAATACATCTTTCTGACAAGTACCAAATATCATGAAACCTAATTCGTCAGCTGAATGTACCCGCATCTCAGAGTTGATGTTCACTCTTGGACTTGAACCCAGTACCGTTTGCTTCAGACGCCATCATGTTATCCATCTTTGCTTAAAAACTTGTGACTTAAGACTATATCGAGGCAATCCACATAGGATGCACATATGTCAACATGAAACTGATCAATTTCAATTCTAAATAACAATGGGAAGATACAAGTAAAACAACACCAAGTGAATTTATATCACTATATATCTATCATAAACTCTGAATAGATTTAAACGCTTCATTTTAGTACTAATAAACTACTATTTTATTTCAATGATTAAGATCATGAGTCAGTTGAAGCACTGGACGGCCGTTCCGTCCTATTATGGGACTCCTCAGCAGTGCGCATCCACGACCTCGCCCCCTGCGAGATTCGAACCCAGGACCTACTGGTTTCGCGCACGAGCACTTAACCACTAGACCACTGAGCCGGCATCCAACGGTGTTAATGTCTAACTTCAACTAATCCACGAAATTGAGCGACACATCCACCTTTGTCTTCAGTGAGTTACTATCCCACAACAGACCTGGTTGAACTCCACTGGTCACTACTTCTCACTAGAACTCCAGGATATACCTCTGCTGAGAAGTCCCATAATAGGACGAAACGGCCGTCCAGTGCTTCTAGGTTTTTCATGGTGGTCTAGCTTCAACTGACTCATGATCTTAATCATTGAAATTACTATTTTATTATTGGTTTTTTACATAAATCTAATAAGTGAATACATATAAATCATTTATAATTATCTATAAATGTAAGATAAGGTTTCATATCTTAAGTAAACCTGCTTACGCAGGTTCAGTTCCTATATGATACATTTAGCAATGATTAAACCATTACAATTTTAGGCAATAAAAAAGAAATCCACTTTCATCAATCAACATAATATAATCTAATCTTGTGAAAGAAAAGAATTCATTTTAAACTATACAGATGTTAGATTAATTATTTTACATTAGTAAAAGGATTCAAACCAGATGACAGACTGATAAAATTACTCAAATGAATTTAAATTGTTCTTAGTGAAAATTGTACAACTATGAAATGTAACTCGAACAATTAAGATTGTTTTCTTTAGTTTTTTTTTCTTAAACAAACCATTAAAATGCAATAAATAAATGTAAACTACATTATTCAATTAGAGAAAAATGAAACATTTCAAAACATCTTTAATAGTTGAATTCATGAGTCTATTGAAGCTAAACTACCATAGAATACCTAGAAGCAGTAGATGGTCATTTCATCCTAGTATGAGACTCCTCAACAGCGTGTATCCAGGATCTTAGTTTTCAATGATGAATTGATCATAACTAGACAATCACTAAAATCTAGAAAACACTAGACAAACTACTTAATCCTAGTATGAAACTCTTTAACACTGCACAACTACAATCCTCTCATAATAAATCAAACCTAAAAACTATGATTTTATACATGAATGTTTAATCTTTTAACCACTGAGGCAGTATCCAACGATGTTAATCAATGTATGATTATTCAAATAGTAACTGATCAACTATAACTTACTTCTATAATCTCTTTCAATAACAACTATATATGAAACAAAGAAGACAAAAAAAATTTGGCAAAATACACATTTATTTATTTAAATAAAAAATGTTAATGAATAAATAAAAAAATAATTTGTAATGAAGTGTTGGAAATTAAAAAAATTAAAAAAAAATTAGTACGAGTTAACCATTGTTAACACACGCGCATAGACACAAGCACACACACACACACACGTAAAACACATTTTATCACACACACACACACTTTCAGAAACACAAGGTAATAATGAATATTAGTAAATTTATTTTTTTTCAGCAATTCTCTTTTTAATAAGCAGTTAGGGAACTTTTGTTTATTTATTTATTTTTTGAAAACAAAATTAAGTAAACACTTGATTCAACCGAATTTAAGAAAATATTTTCATGATATATGCGTAGTAGTGAATCAATAGTTAGTCACTAATCAATCTATTGAATTGATAATAATGTTTAAATGAAGAGATTGATGTCAGATTTTTTGTGGTTGTTGTTGTTTTTTTTTTTTAGTACTCATAAAATAGTTTATCTTACCCCACTCAAGTTGTTTCACATTCTCGATATATACCCTTTATTGATATAAATGATGTAGTCAATAATAATTTGTTGATGTTGTTGTTGTTAGAATGTTTAGTTTTAGTACTAAATTATTGATTAAAAATGATTGTTTTTATTTCCATTTAATTAATCAGTTGGATAATTGAATGTAATGCACAATTGTAGGGATTAACTACACTATTATTATAATTTAGGATAACTAAATTATTGTAGACTTGTAAGCGAAGATAGTGGCTAGAAGTGGAATACAGGATGCACGTTTCGTCCTATCTAGGTCTCGTCAGTTGGATGTACCTGAATCTCTGAGTTGATGTTCACCCTGGGACTCAAACCTAGTACCGTTCGCTTCAAATGTTATCGCGTTATCCACTTAGCTACTGAGTCCCAGAGTGAACATCAACTCTGAGATGCAAGTACATCCAGATGACGAGTCCTAAATAGGACGAATCGCGCATGAAACGTGATTCCACTGCTAGCCGCTATCCATTTTTGCTCATAATGTTTGTGACTAAAGGCAATATCGAGACAATATGCACATATTCCAGTAAGAGATTGATCAATTGCATTCCTAAACATCAATGGGAAGATTCAAGTAAACAATACCAAGTAAATTTATTATACACTTAATTTTCAAATGGAATGTTTGTTCATGTTATATAACGATATGGTAAACTTCATTCTGGAAAATACTAAACTTTAGAAACAAGAATAAGCTGATCTATCATTATGATTTTTCTCTTTCGATAATCTGTCTATCAGACAAGCTATAGGAATTGTGATTCAAAGTTTTTCAAGGCTACATTACTTCACAATGTTTACATCAATACTAGTTTCAAGATAGAAAGTTTTTTTAAACGATCCATAGTTACTAGCTAATCAATTATTTTAAGGTTTATCAGGAATCATTACAAAATTAAATGAGAAATGATCGTTTCATAAAGAATGATGATTGTGAATTAACAAAAAGAAAAAAATATTGAACTTACTATTATGTCCTCGTTGTTTACAGTCTACAGGTGAATAAAGCGGTACTATATCTGTAGAAAGATGAAAATCATTTTGTTGTTCATGTTCTCTTAAAAAAATTTTGACTGTTTTTAAACACTGTTCTCATACCTCTTTGCTGTAAGTGACAAATTTCGGACGATAATGTAACTCACCGATGTCATCATCATCACCACTATTATTATTATTATTATCATTTTAAGCTTGACAAATAAACTCATCATAAGAGTAATACTTTCAACCAAACAAACAATAGTATAACTTACCAGATTGAATACAGGTAAGTAAATGTGTTAACTAATGACTCGTTATAAAGTCTTTACTTCGTATGAAAACTTACGATATGATGTATAAATGAGATAAGTTTTGACGATTTGGATAGATGGAAAAGTATTATTGTTCACCTTTTTTATTTGCTATATAAAACAGGGTTAATGCTAGAGACTGTTTCTATGCTCATCACTACATTCATGTAATAGCAATGTGAAACATTATCTATACAGAGGTTTAAATGAAAGAGAATTTAGTTTGAATTTACTTAGATATCATAATTTTTCTGTTAGAATAACTGCCTTAAAGTTATCTCGGAGACATTTACTAGAATATAGTATTGTAGAAGAGTTTCAGTTTAAGCGGCTTATCTTAATCAACAATGATTATAGTCTCTCTGTACTAAGTATGACAAAATATAAATATTTAAATGATCAATTGAACTTACATGAACAATATTGAATCCCTTTGCCCGAAACACTTGAGCCTCCTAAATTAATAGAAATTAAAGAAAATGTAATTAATGCATAAAATTGTACTGTACTCAGCTGATATTATAAACTGAACCTACAACCTTCGATCTTGCGCTCGAACGCTCCATCTCTAGATCAATAAACCAGCATCCAGTGGTGCCATTATTTAAATTCAATAAATCCACGATATTGCCTAACTGCCTCCCATTGACTTCGATGGGTAACTGCCTTACACCCGACACGTTTAAGTCCTACTGGCCACAGCTTCTCACTAGAGCTTCGGAAATTTCCTTTTGAATTTAGTCACTAGTAAGCACGTGCTAATTTTCAGTACAAGGTTGTAGAGATCACCATATCTTATTGAAATTATGAACCGCTCAATGTTAGACCACCATTCAAAACCTGTAATGCTATTGGCGATTTAATTTGGAGTCTTCCCAGTTCCACAGGATTATTAGGCGGTTTCTTTGTGTACCTAATATGTTCTTTTACTCGAGTTAAGATTTCACGAGATGACACTCCAATATAAAAGGCATCACAATCGACACATTGTGATTTGTAAACACAATTCTGTGTTGATATAAACGGGATTTTTCGCTTCATGTGAACTAAAGCATTTCTTAATATGCTTTAATTCTGTGTTGTTTTAAGACTCTTTGGAGTTCTTCTGTTGTACCATGACGGTATGGTAAAACTACAGTGCCAATCCCTGGTATTTCATTAGGATTATTATTTGTTAGCAGCATGTGTCGTTTTATTGCACTTTTAATCATCTTTATAGGAAAATTATTAAGTTGTAAGATGTTAATTATATGCTTTCGTTCTTTCTGTTTGTCATCTTCAGAAGTAATAATCCTATTTGCTCTTCTAAAAAATTTAGGGCTAGAGAGATTTCTGCACTGAATAGATGTGCTGAATCGAAGTCAACATAACAATTCCAGTGTGTCGATTTTCGGTAGATTGTTAGATTTAGAGCTCCATTTGGAATAAGCGATACCTGATACTGCTAAATAATAATCCTAATGAAATACCAGGGATTGGCACTGTAGTTTTACCATACCGTCATGGTACAACAGAAGAACTCCAAAGAGTCTTAAAACAACACAGAATTAAAGCATATTAAGAAATGCTTTAGTTCACATGAAGCGAAAAATCCCGTTTATATCAACACAGAATTGTGTTTACAAATCACAATGTGTCGATTGTGATGCCTTTTATATTGGAGTGTCATCTCGTGAAATCTTAACTCGAGTAAAAGAACATATTAGGTACACAAAGAAACCGCCTAATAATCCTGTGGAACTGGGAAGACTCCAAATTAAATTGCCAATAGCAGTTCATGTCATTTTCGACAACCATCAAGGAGATATTAAAATTATCAAAATAATGTAAAATGACTTTTCCAGCTATAAATAAATGTAAGTAGCTGAAGCTTTCTATATATCGTCTAATTCTAATCTATTCTATAGTGAAGAAGGCCTCACTATCCATTCGACTTCGATAATCTCTCTGAACTACCATGTCTGTTTCTATTTACATCTCACATCATTATTGTACATACAAATTATACTTTATCCTTTTTCACCACAACTGTCACATTTTTCATCCTTTAACACACATTCCTATACACAAATATACAAACATGCTTTACATAAGTCAACATGACCTGAATAACATGACAGTGGCTTGATCAGATATGATCCTGATTGATCACACCAAATATTCCTGCTGTATTTCTTTGAATAATTTAAACTTGAGTTGATTTTATTTGTTTATTTATTTTTTGAAGAAGTGGTTTACACTGAGTGACGAAACGTCAGAAAATTTAAAAATTTAATTTTTCTATTCATTGGGATATTACAAATATATTACTTTTATTGGTAAAACTCAATATTTGATTAGCCTTCATTATGTATTCTAGTTATATACATTCTAGTAGTATTACTTAATCATCTTAAAGATTGATCTCAAAAATCGCTCATTTATATTAACGGTTAAGATTAAATGCAGGATACTGTATCATCATATAAAGTTTTTTTGACAGCCTACCATTATAAACATAATAAATTGAATTACAACTAGAGACTAATGAAGACTATCGATAACAAATAGTTTCACTAATGTAGGTCAAATGATTGCATGAAACATCGGAAATATTCTTATGATCTTCTGTAGGAATCAACATTATATAAACTTGAATTAGAAAAGTTCCGTAACACCTGTGTCAATTAAATAGTTTCAGATGTGGCGGCAGATAAATCTTAGTATTTGACATTCAAATATGTTTCTTCCCCAACTCTACATATCAAATGGGAAACTTATTTAATTAAAAACTCGAAATATTTTTTTTCATTAGACAGAGCTTTTCAAATCATCCCGTTTTTTGATATTTAAGATTGCAACTGATCAGTCATTTTTGGCAGATATGTACATTCTGTGCGGATTGCCTCGATTTTAAGACTGTTATGGTGTAGATACCAACACTTGGTCCAGGCACACTGAATTGATGAGTCTCAAATGGAACGAAATGCTCATACTAGATTCCACTACCGAACTATGCTTAATTTGACTGTGACAATGACAATATCGAGGCAACTTGCACAAGATGCACTTTTGGTATAAAGCGTTTGATCAATTACATCCTTTAAAATTATCAACGAGAAGATTCAAATGATCCTTAAAATTGAATTAAAGTTTACCACTGTTACACAAGCCAGTAGATATTTGGACTCAGGAATTAAATGTAAAACACTCAATGAGTTTTATATAAAAGCTACTGGGTTCGAGCTCGTATGGATGTCAACACGAATGCAGATATATCCAGCTGGCATGTCCTAGAAAACACGGAACACGTGTTCTGGATTGTACCAATAACCACTTTCCAATTCTACTTCTAAATGTTCATATCTTGAACGGATGACAAATAATTTGTTACACTTCATTCTGAACTTTTTAAACAAGCAAAATGAAATGATTTACCTTAGGTTGTTGATACCATTTTTATATAACATAAATCGTGTCAAACTATCAAAACACTTAGATTTTTCTAACCTCAAATCACTTATATGTGTCCATTTTTGGATCAATGAATTAAAGATTATGTTCCATTCAAATGATTATCAATTATTTGTTAAAAGCTATTATATATTAAATTGTAACCAAATAGGTATGATTTGAAATTTCCAAATATATCACAGAGCTGTTTTATTAATCAATATGAAAAAAAACTATCAGTTATTGTAACATGTAATTTATAATACAATTAGGTGAATAAATGATCAAGGAACTTACTTAATGTACTGTTACCTACACATTAAAAAAATAAGATAATAATCACTTAGATTCTAATATTAATAAATAATCATTGAAAACAACATTCAAACTGTATGTGAAGTGTTATCAAACAATTTATAGTATTTATTAAATTCAGTGAAATATTAAATCTCATATATATATCTACATAGAATATACCAAGCAAAGTGCTAAACTGATTATTCATTATCGGAAAGGGGTCTCCAGTAATCTATCATCTATTTCGTCAGTTCAAAGGATTTAGAATCTATATTATGTTATTATGTCAATGAATAATTAAAGTTATATCACCATGGAAAGCCTGGAAATACTGGATGGCCGTTTCGTCCTATTGTGGGACTCTTCAGTAGTACGCATCCATGATCCCGGTCGCGGGATTAGAACACAAGACCAGTGGGATTCAACCGGGTCTGTTATGAGATAGTAACACGCTGAAGACAATGGTGGACGATGGCTCAATTTCCTGAATTGGTTAAAGTTAGACATTAACACCGTTGGGTGACGACTCAGTGGTCTCGAGGTTAAACGTTCTCGTCCGAGACCGATAGGTTCTAGATTCGAATCTTACGAGGGGGGATCGTATATGCGCACTGCTGAGGAGTCCCACACTACGTCCAGTGCTTCCAGGCTTTTCATGGTGGTATAGCTTCACTAATTCATTAACATAATAACATAATAAGTATTCTAAATTCTTTGAACTAACATAATAAATGATAGATTACTGGATATATGATTAACAAAGTACTTCTGTATTACTCATAAAAATTGATGTTGACAAATTCACTAATATACTATGCTGAGTTATAAACTATTAATTCAATAATGTCCAGTAATTCACTAGCCTATATCTATCCTTAGTGAAATTTACTTTAAATAGATTAATTGTTTATTTGTATACATTTTAACAAGATATATCCTTTAGGAAAAGTATTTTTTTATTATAAGCAAATATGGATAGTAGCTAGCAGTGGAATCCAGCTGCATGTACCAGCATCCTAGAGTTTATGTTCACTCTGGGACTCGAACCCAGTACCGTTCACTTCAAACGCCATCGCATTATTCACTTAGCTACTGAGTCCTGATATCTACTTGCTTGTGTAAAGTGAATATATTTCTTTCTTACTCTAATATATCTTAATTATTCCAATGTATTATTTGACGAAAGAATTTATATTGTTTATCTAATCTATGTTTTAATCAATTTAATTATATTCAAGATTGTTTATTGGGCAGAAATTCAGTATAAAGAACTGAAAAGGTTATTACAATAAAAATCATAAATATATGAATCAAAATATACAATTTAACTTACTGTCATCATCTGTAAAAGGATTGTATTAAAAGCAAAATCGTTTAATTTAGATGCAGAAAACTGTCATGGTAACATTTAAGGCATAACGTTAAAATAATCAATTTAATGTTTTTGACTGAGATCATGAATCGATTGATGTTAGACCACCTTTGAAAACCTAAGTGAACTGGATGGCCTTCTGGTCTTAGTATGGGACTCCTCAGCAGTGCTCATATTGTAGATAATTTCAAATGGTGGTTATAGCAATTATAAATCATAAGATTTAAAGTACTATATCTGTAGTGTGTACTACTAAGGGCGGCAGGTATAAGTCATATGTATTATCAACCGAAAGTGAAATATCTGGTGGCAGAAGGTTAAGAGGATCGAAGCAAAGAGAATGAGAACAGAGAATGATTGATGTGGAAACGGAGGAACAATCAAATCTGAGACTATTGATCGACATTTCGCAAACGAAGTATTTACTGTATGGTTATCTTTTAAAGCGAACGATACTGGGTTTGAGTCCAAGAGTGAACGTCGACTCTGAGATGCAGATACATCCAGATGACGAGTCCCAAAGAGGACGAAACGCGCGTCAAACTGGATTCCACTGCTAGCCACCATCCATCTTTGCTTAAAATATTTGTGAATTAAGGTAATATCAAGGCATTCCGAACAGTATGCACTTAAACCAATAAGAGACTGATTAACTGCATTCTTGAACATCAATGGGAAAATTTACGTAAACAATACCAAGTGAATTTATTCTATAATTATGTATTAAAATAAATTTGGTCATCCCCATCTTAGTTCTCGTTCACTAATTGTGGAATGGTATAACAGATTTACATTTGAATAAGATAAAGTAAACTTAGAAAAATACGAATCTATTTATCAATGCATTCAAATATGACACAGTATACGTAATCATAAACTGTATGTCTATTTTCGTTCAAATTAAAATACATTAAAAAAAAGAAGAAAACGAGCAATGTGTAAAATTAAGTCTAACCAATAAAGACATTAAATTATGTCTTTCCAATGTATAGTATTATTCATTATATTAATGTCTGTGAACGTGTATAACGAGACGTCTAACATAAGTTGTAGAATCGAATAAATAATTAACAGATAATGATGTATATCAGTAGTGAATTCGAGGTTTTTTCTTTATCTAAATAGCTTGTCAGCTTAAGCTGAATGATGATTAACAAGATGTTCCAAATTACATTGATTTCATCTTATTTTACAAATCATATTACCATTGACTTGATAATGTGTAATAAAAAGATCTATTAACTCCACCCGAAGCCCCTCCGAGGGCTACTGCCGGTCCCAAGCCCAGATAAAAGAGGAAGGTTGGGTATGGGGTTAGCGACCCCATCCCACAAAAAACTAACCCGCTAAAAAATCACCAACCAGAAAAAATTATTCAAATCATTGAAACTCTGCCATGGAAGTCAAAAGGTCTTCAGTTAGAAGAGTTATGATGCCTCAGATTGAAAGCCGAGTTCCTTCGGAAGTCACGAGGCCGATACTTCTTCTGACAACCAGAACAACCATTTATTTAAGTACATGAAATGCTCGAACAATGTGGGAGACCGTGAGAGTCTTCCAAATCGCTGCCGTATGAAGATCTATTAAGTAACGAAGCACTAATGTTCTAGTTTATAATGTAGTAAGTAAATATTACAAAAGAGTAATAAACACTATGTATATATATAAGAACTTACTTTCATCTATGAAATAAAGCAGATCAAAGCAAGAAATTAGAAACCAATTCAAATAAACATACTGAATATCTTTTATCTAACTGAAATTATATACTTTGTAATGTAATCATTATTCAGTTATTCTAGAATTATATAGAGTTTAATTCCAAATAGTTGATAATGATTATTTAATTTTTCCATTCTTTTAAAATACTACTGAAAACTTATAAATTATGGAATTAACAAGCATATATCACAAATCTGTTATTAGTATCAGAATGGGGTTTTTATTTGCATGGATATTATAGTAATTTTAATAGTTGAGATCATGAGTCCATTGAAGCTAAATGAAACGATCGTCTAATGCTTCCAGTGTTTCCATGATGAACTAGATTCAATGGACTCATGATCTCAACAATTAAAATCTGTTGATATTATTATTATTACTATGAATATTAAACAAGCACTCATACATAAAATAGAGTGTAAAAATCTCTTTCATGTAATCGCTTTGAACATAGCTTCCTTCCCATATTAAGAATCATCAAAAATAATGAATAATTGAATAATGTACATCGTAAGCAATAAGATACACTTTTCATTAAATGAAGAAAATATATGATACATAAAATAAAGCTCTTCAGAAAGCCGTAAAAACAATTACCAAAAGGCAATCACACATTATTCAAGGAACAGATTTTTATTTCCTAAACAACACCGTAATCTAATAGTTGAATTCATGAGTCGATGTAAGGTAGACCAGCATACAAAACCCGAAAGCACTGGACGGCCATTCAGTTCTAGCATGGGACTGCTCAGTAGTGCGCATCCACGATCCCGTATACGGCATTTGAACCTACGACCTTCGGTCTTGCTCTCAAAGGCTTGACCTATAGACTACCAAACCGGAATCCAACATTGTTTATGTCCAAATTCCATTGGTTTCTACCCGAAATGGACTGGAATCAATTGTTCACGTCTTCTCACAAGAACACCGGGAAATCCACCTTGATCCTAGTCACTAAAGAGTAGTGTATTCATCTTCAGTGCAATTCTACATGAGTTAGTCATCACAACGTCATACATTCAGCTCATTATACTTGGTTGAATCACAACACCTAAAAAACGATTGGTTCATGATCAATCCGTTCAACATTTTCATGATTGATACTGTTTACTATACACACATTATGTGTCAATCGTGAACAATTTCACTAAATTTAACTGACAAATATCTATTAATGGCGTCGTTAATTATAGTCAATTTGTATATAATCACAATAATTGACAAACTGAAAAGTAGCATTTAAATTTAGAATGTTTGGAAATACATGCTGAGTGAAAACATCAATTTTCAGTGAATGGTATTTATTTCAATTGTGAAATTTGTTTCTATCTGTTCGATGTGATCTGGCTGGTTTATGACAGATCAGGTGAATGGAATTACATCACCTTCATCTTACTCCACAAATTACATTCTATTCACACTGAGGAGAAGTGCACATCAACTCGATCAATTGTATACGTGATCATTTTCGATTGTGCAGTCCACTCACATACACACATACATTGTTTCCTTCACACAACTCATCACATCATATATATATGGGTAGGTAAATAACAGACAAAATGAACTTACTTCCCTCTGTGAAAAACAAATCAAAACAACAAATCACATCAGATATTTGAGTAGTTGTACAAATATGATTTATTTGTATCATGTGTATGATATGATTGAGGTTGGTGTAAATTACATATTATTATTCGTCAATTCTAAACATGGATTTCATACTAATCACTAAATTAGTGTGATTTCATTCTCACACTAGAACACAATTCGAAATGTACAGTCATTTATCATCATCATTATTATTTGAATGTTTAGTGGGATTCGAACGACATTGTCAGTCAAAGTGAATTTCTGTGACCTATCATCACCTGTCATCTAGAAAATGAGCTGTCCGTCACCCACTACACATTAAACAACATATTGCGGTTTTATCAATCAACATAACATTAGTTATTTGACTCGTAACCATCTATTCCTCAAAGTATTCATACACTCCTCAATGATGTTATTCTGTAAACACATGATTCTGAAACGTGAAACATTTGGTGCATCTTAAATACAACAACTGGTGACGATGAGTACATGATGTGTTTAATTAGAAATATGTGCGAATCACATACTTCATCTAGTATCTGACTACCGACAGTGTCTAGTGTCGCAATCATAAACACTTGTGCAATTGGAGTGTATGATACCTGTCGAAAGTTCACTTAGTTAAACATTTGTAAATTTGTGAAGTGTGACTAGCAGTTGAATGGTTGTGAATATATTAAAAAGTTTATAACAAGAATATGTGTAATATTGTGATGATTTTCAACGTACGTTGTTCATCTTCTAGATTGGGAATAAATTGAATATTTAAATGATATTATGATAGTGATGATTGTGATCAGACTAAATGTGTGTTTATGATTTGAGCTTTTTAAACGTTGATTAGACCTTGAGTTTAATACCACGTTTTCCAGGTTCGTCATATGGATGACCTTTTAATGTAACAAGTTAGTTCGTATATCGTAACTAATTTAATTTCATAATTGATTGATCGCTGGGTGGTGATCAATGTCATGCGTGTCAAGGCCTTCGTAGTGCAGATCGAATGCTATCGACCAAGTTGCAATGTGGCCACCAGTCTAGGTGACTCAACATTGCGCGCACTATGTTGAGATAAGATGGTGGTCAAAGGTAGTCAATAGGAGACTCTGGATCCAGGTTTTGTGCTGTTTGGCACTCGTCAGCAAGATGTACCTGTTATCTTTAGGGAACAGGTGCTCCCTGACGGATTAGATTCCGTGTTACCCAGCTTCAAAGTTGGAGACGTTACCACTGGGCTATCCAGGCCGCGACTGACCTCCTGTAGGACTGAGATGTATTCACAATTGATTGACCACTGAGTACTGTTCAGTGTCATGCATGTCAAGTCCTTCTTAATGTAAACTTTTCGATTAATTTCATTTTAATGAATAATGGTCCGGATAACACAATGGTAACGTCTCTAACTGTGAAGCTGGGTGACATGGGATCGAATCCGTCAGGAAGCACCTGTTCCCTCAAAATTACAGGTACACCTTGCTGACGAGTGCCAAATAGCACGAAAACCGGGTCCACAGTCTCATGTTAACTACCTCAACCGCCATCCTATCTAATTTAATTTAAAATCATTTTTATTCGGCTTTTTTTATGAGTAGTCGTCAAACATCAAGTCTTAATTGTTTCATACTACGTATTTGTGTAATTAAAAGTATGCTAAAATGACATCAGTGATGTAATCCATCAATTAAGCTGAACAAGAACCGCCTGTGGAAGCACAGTGACATTGATCCTGATTAAAGATAATAATGTTTGATGGATATGCCGTATATTAGTATCAAAGTGCATGCAGAGTTTGATGGTCGCTAGTCATTTAACTTATAAAATGCTTATGACTTAATAGTGATCTGTATGACGATCTGTATAGGATCTTCATATGTCAAAAGAGATCAATCAATTGGAGTTCATGACATCAATGGAAAAACTAAAAAAACGAATACTACTGAATTAAAACCATAATATTTTATTCCTTCTAGAGCAAATAGAAGAATATTAGAAAGTGTTTATTACTTGTTCATTAGTTGAAATTCTTGTGAATTTTCAAAATGAATAAACTATGTTGCCTAATTTTTCCAATGATCAAAATCATCAGTATTTACACTGTTTGTGTAGTGAACGAGAACACAAGTGAGGACAATCAAATGTATTTGTACACAATATTACAGAATTTCTGTAAAATCTGAGAACTATACAGTAAATACTTCATTTGCAAAATGTAAATCAATTGTCTCAGATTTGATTGTTCCTTCGTCTCCACATCAATCATTCTCTGTTCTCGTTCTCTTTGTTTCGATCCTCTTAACCTTCTGCCACCAGATATTTCACTTTCGATTGATAATATATACTACTTATATCTGTCGACATCAGTAGCACACACCATATATGTAATCAATGAAACTGAAATATAGATACTAATTCGAAATTACTACTAATAGTCATGCTTTAATTTATAACATTTCTCTATACTATCAGTTGTTGATCATTAAGTCAAACTGGTAATTTTCACAGGGATAAAAGGTTTATCATGTACACTACATAATAAAGATATTTATTTGTGAATTGAATATGATGAATGTCTATTGCCTTATTTATGTTTCGATAATTTCATTAATACGAAAGAAAATCTAAAAGGAATTAGAACTTACTTATCATATAACTAGATCCTGAAATTAAAATGAAGGATAATATATGTAAATATTATTATTGACTAAAGATGCTGAACTAGTATAATGAAGATGTATTTTATTAATATGATTATATACACATATAATTTCGTGACAATAGTTGTAAAATTGAACTGAATCGGTTCCGACAAGTACCATATCTCAATTGGAGTTCCATGAAAATGAATGCATGATATGTAAGTGCTGATAATTAAGCTGAGTTATCCCAAAAAATGTGCAACTTTTCACATACAAACAACATGTCCAATGAGACATACTTACTGCATATGAAAGAAGTTTGAAAATATTTACTGCCGTAATAATACATTTTGTTGCTAACAATTTCTGATAAAAGCTGTAAGTTATAAAATACTCTGAGCTATTATAACAAAAACTCCACCTGGAGTCCCCCTGGAGCTACTGCCGGTCCTAAGCCTGGACAAAGGAGGAGGGTTGGACATAGGGTTAGCGACCTCATCCCGTAGAAAACTAACTCACTAACAAAAGCTGCCGACAAATCATTACTTACGTATCTAACTCTTATATCAGGTTTATTAATCATTTTTCTCTATAAGTAAAGATTTTAAAGTTTTCTTACTCTATAGTATCCGATCAATTTTTTACTTCAGGGTATGTTTCTAACATTTCATTATATTTTCTTGAATTTTCTCCTAGTCAGTACTGCCGATTTCTTAATTATACTATTCTCTTATGTTTATATGTTATTAGAACAATACTGACCGATGATTTTTTCCACAAGGGACTAGGATGTTATTACCTGTGAAATTTGTAATAAACTTATTTTATTCGGTTGTAACTTCATCATTATTAAATAGGAAACTATCCATTTACTGTAAGCATTGGAAAATACTACCGATTTTGATTAAGTGATTGACGCTTCTGGTATTAATGATAAAAATGTAGTGATTGAACTATTTAGGTTCATGTAGTTGTATGATGTTAAATAAACTGTTTTTATGAAGAGATCCAATGGCTTTAAAACAAACTTAACTCAAGTGACAACACTACTGAAAGTATTACCCTGAGCTACAAATTTATAAAGATCTGATTTTGTCAACTTTATTGTTACATCAAAAGCGATTCAACACGAAATTGCAAATAATATCACAACTAAACTAAAAGATACATTTTGCTTAGGAAGACTGAATCGTACGAGTCTGAGGATGAACAATCATAAAGAGTTATACAGTTCCTTGGAGTCTATAGGCTTCACTGAAGATAGAAAGATTTGATAAACTTATTTACAAATGCAAAGAACCGTTAAGCTTTGAAGCGTACTTAAAAAGATCATTTGAACTGATGATATATATTGTGACATACCTATTTCACATATTGGTAGTATTTATGTAAAGACATGGAATTACACTTTGGCAAAATTTTTCTTTTAACATAACAAATTTTTATTTATTACTCCGAAAAGGAACGAATTTAAGCTGAAATCAATCGAGTATCGGATAAAGTCTTTTTAATTTCAGTACACTGAAAATGTTTGTCAAGGGGTTTTGTTGTATAAGTAACGATTAGTTGTGTTGTAATTTATTGATTGCATTGTATAATTCACCATATTGATGAAAAAATGTTCACAATAGGCTACATAACAATTAGAAAATAAGCAAAGATGGATAGTGGCTAGCAGTGGAATAGGGGACATGTGTTTCGTTCTATGTGGGACTCTTCACCTCGATTGCACATGCAATTGGCTATAAAGACTCAGTAGCTAAGTGGATAATGTGATGGTATTTGAAACGAACGGTACTGGGTTCGAGTTCAAGAATGAACATCAACTCCGGGATGCAGGTACATCCAGCCGACGAATCCCAAATAGGATGAAACGCGCGAATTGGTTTCCACTGCTAGCAACTATCGATCTTTGTCTATAATGCTCGAGAATTAATGCAATATTGAAGCAATATGCAAATATGCCGATAACAGACTGATCAATGGAGTTCTTGAACATTAATGGGAAGATTCAAGTAAACAAAACCAAGTGAATGTAAATAGGAAATAATTTACAAATATTTTAACAAATCAACAAAACAAATGAACTTACTTCCGTCTGCAGCAAAACAAACAAATGAAACAAAGACATCATGATTATTTATAGGATAAGGATTTTATACAAATTCATTTAATTCATTCTATTTTTAGTATGAGTTTGTGGAGATTATTAAGTTTTTGATTGAGATCATGAACCGATTGATGTTAAACTGTGGTTGCTCAATGCTGAGGAGTCCCACAATATAATGAAACGGACGTCCAGTGCTTTCAGGTTTTCAATGGTGGTCTAACATCAATCGGTTCATGATCTCAATCATTTTGTTTTATTGAATTGTTACACTTTTAAAGCTTTTACAATTTATAATTCCAGGGAATGATAATTCAGTTATAAACTTTTATTATGCATAATTTCTTTTTCCAGAAAATAAACAATCACTTTTAACATTGATACAGTTTCATTTGCGATACGAATCTCAGTCTAGTTTTTTGATAAAAGATTAAACAACTACTGATGAAACATGTCATATAGTAATATGCTTCATCATTATGATAAATGTATTTTGGTGTTTTTTTTAAGAACTATTATTTACTTTTACAGAATGAAGAAACTTTGCAAATTAGACAGAATTTTTATTCTTATATCTAAGTACTTTGCTAAATACTAATGATAATACATTATTATGCATGCAAACCCCACTTTGATCATAATCATCATATGCTCATTAGTGACTGGTTCCATGGAGTTCTAGTGAGAAGCCTTGACTAGTGGAGCCTACCTAAGACAATGGATGAATGGTTGTACAAAATCATGGATCGATAGAAGTTAGACATTAACACTGTTGTATGTCGCCTCAGTGGTCTAGAGTTTAAACGTTTGCACGCGAGGCTAATAGATTCTGGGTTCGAATCCAGCGAGACAGGATCGTGGATGCACACTGCTTAGGAATCCCATACTAGGACAAATCGACCATCCAGTGCTTCCAGGTTTTTCATAGTGGTCTAGCTTCAATTAGCTCATGATCTCAACTATTAAAACAACTATAATATCCACAAAAACCCCTTCTGATATCAATATTCTTATATTGAAGATGTCCTATTCCACAATGGATAAAATATGTAAACAATTTAATTTTGAACACAGCGAACATTCAAAACTACCAAGATGAATTTGAATTCAGGGTAATGAAAATGTTAATAAGATGAAGATGATAATGACACCTAAAATTTCAACATACATTGATCATTTTCTGAATAGGAGAAAAAATCAATACATAGAGTTAAATTGAACAAACAGGAAACAACATTTACAAATTAAAGTTCAACTTTATGGATGACAAGTAATTTACATGCATATAGTCAGCCTAAAAGATAGATAATAGTAACTCCACATAAATGTATGGTTAAAATGGAAGTTTTGTTTATTTAACACTGATTATTTCTCAGCTTTTTGACCGCGTACGTAAAATTTGCTCAAAAGAATGCCTGGAAGAAGAAATTTCTCTCATCATTAAGTGCCTATGTGAAAATGCATATCCGGGGAAATTCATCCATAAATATGCAAATATCAACCCTCGGGTAAATTATGATAGGGTGGAAAAGAAAACTTGCTTCTTATACTTACGCTTCAAAGGAGATGAGATTGCTGGAATAATTAATCACAGAATAAATTCCTTGTTGAAAGTAACCTATCCAGCAGCAAAACTGACAACGGTATGGGAAACGAAGTGCTCACTCAAACAAACTAAAATCGACAAGTCCTCTTTTCTCATTAGCTCCAACTGCATTTACATTTACGTGCCAAAGCACATACATTGGGAGAACTTAGAGAAGAGTACATGTTCGCATTTCTGAGCATGTTCCAAATAAATTGAGGCTGCGAGGGACTAGGGCTCTCAACAGTGCGATAGCTCGGTATTTAATTGACACCGGGCACAGCCATTGACATCTCTCATGCTTTTAAAATTATTAGCAGACAAAGAAGTACGACTGCTCTCCGTTTTGCTGGAGCGATCGCGATAAAAAGCTTAAACCGGATCTATGTACTGAAAAAGCGACAGTAATAAATTTATTACTACCCTGGTAATCCATTTTTGCGTGTGTGTGTGTGTTTGTATTCTTTTTGTTTTTGGTTATTAGTTTTATTCCACTCCCATTACCGAGTTCCTAAACCACCCTTTCACTCATATATATATATATATATATATATCATTGATAACCATTGTCATTCCAATCTTTTGCATTCACCAATGTCAATTTTTCCATACTATTTCTTATCTCAATGTAAAATTCTAATACATATTTGGTTGTAAGCAGCTGATGAGAATCCACGAAATATAATGAATTCATATTATTCTGCATCAATATTTGTTCTGGCTTTGTTTAAAAGAATAATAGCTTCCAGATCTTCATTTGTTGTATTACTAACATTTAACTATTCTATGTAGCAGGGATCATTTCAGTAGGATATTAAACTACATTTAGTTCACTTTAAATTGGAATCGAATCAATATGCTATACTACTAATTAGTAGTTAATAAATGGAGCTTTTGATTCTGTTCAATTAACAATTCTTTAAATTCTATGATATTCTTCATTCACTTTCTAAATGACAACACTGTACTTTTGTGTCTTATGGTAACTATCACCACTATAATAAATAACAAACCATTTGAACTTACTTATATAATTAGCTCCTGAAATTCAAACAAGATAAATTTAACGTATTATTTCATATTCTATTACTATTGAATATCAATTAAATCATAATGTACTAATTAACAGATATGATATTTCAATGGTTGAGATCATGAGTCAATTGAAGCTAAACGACTGTGGAAAACCTGGAAGCACTGGACGGTCGTTTCGCCCTATTGTAGGACTCCTCAGGAGTTTTTCGGAACAATGGTGAATTTGTATTAGCCAACTGTTAATGAATTTGTAGTTTCAGTTGGTAGAAATAAAGTGTAGTAATGCATTTAGAAGACGTTTAAGAAGAGATTGAAATATTGATGTAAGGTGAAGAATCTTCATCGTCTAAATCACCAACAGATCTTGGATAGCCTACTACTTACAACCACTAAGCATTGGATAATATAGTATAGAACGCCTTAGAGGTGTCCACTCGTGAATCTTAATAATTAGACAGACGAATGAAATAACAAAATTTTCATAGTATTTGGTGTAGTACCTTTTCGTGCATTGAGTAAAAGTAAAAATTTGCGTTCTATTCTAAACAACACCGTAATCTGATAGTTGAATTCATTAGTCGATATAGGCTAGACCAGCATAGAAAACCCGAAAGCACTGGACGGCCATTCAGTTCTAGCATGGGACTCCTCAGTAGTGCGCATCCACGATCCCGTATACGGCGTTCGAACCTACGACCTTCGGTCTCGCTCTCAAAGGCTTGACCTATAGACTACCAAACAGGAATCCAACATTGTTTATGTCCAAATTCCATTGGTTTATGAATGGATGCGCAACAATTCATCCAGTGTCTGAGGTAGATACCTGTTTCTACCCTAAATGGACTGGAATCAATTGTTCACGTCATCTCACAAGAACACCGGGAAATCCACCTTGATGCAAGTCACTAAAGAGTAGTGTATTCATCTTCAGTCGAATTCTACATCAGTTAGTCATCACAATGTCACAAGTTAAGCTCATTATACTAGATTGAATCACAATAATTAAAAAAGTGATGGGTTCATGATCAATCCGTTCAACATTTTCATGATTGATACTGTGTACTATACACACATTATGTGTCAATCGTGAACAATTTCACTAAAGTCAACTGACAAATATCTACTAATGGCGTCGTTAATTATAGTCAATTTGTATATAATCACAATAATTGACAAACTGAAAAGTAGCATTTAAATTTAGAATGTTTGGAAATACATGCTGAGTGAAAACATCAATTTCCAGTGAATGGTATTTATTTCAATTGTGAAATTTGTTTCTATCTGTTCAATGTGATCTGGCTGGTTTATGACAGATCAGGTGAATGGAATTACATCACCTTCGTCTTACTCCACAAATTACATTCTATTCACACTGAGGAGAAGTGCACATCAACTCGATCAATTGTATACGTGATCATTTTCGATTGTGCAGTACACTCACACACACACACACACACGTACATTGTTTCCTTCACACAACTCATCACATCATATATATATGGGTAGGTAAATAACAGACAAAATGAACTTACTTCCCTCTGTGAAAAACAAATCAAAACAACAAATCACATCAGATATTTGAGTAGTTGTACAAATATGATTTATTTGTATCATGTGTATGATATGATTGAGGTTGATGTAAATTACATGGATTTCATACTAATCACTAAATTAGTGTGATTTCATTCTCACACTAGAACACAATTCGAAATGTACAGTCATTTATCATCATCATTATTATTTGAATGTTTAGTGGGATTCGAATGACATTGTCAGTCAAAGTGAATTTCTGTGACCTATCATCACCTGTCATCTAGAAAATGAGCTGTCCGTCACCCACTACACATTAAACAACATATTGAGGTTTTATCAATCAACATAACATTAGTTATTTGACTCGTTACCATCTATTCCTCAAAGTATTCATACACTCCTCAATGATGTTATTCTGTAAACACATGATTCTGAAACGTGAAACATTTGATGCATCTTAAATACAACAACTGGTGACGATGAGTACATGATGTGTTTAATTAGAAATATGTGCGAATCACATACTTCATCTAGTATCTGACTACCGACAGTGTCTAGTGTCGCAATAATAAACAATTGTGCAATTGGAGTGTATGATACCTGTCGAAAGTTCACTTAGTTAAACATTTGTAAATTTGTGAAGTGTGACTAGCAGTTGAATGGTTGTGAATGTATTAAAAAGTTTATAACAAGAATATGTGTAATATTGTGATGATTTTCAACGTACGTTGTTCATCTTCTAGATTGGGAGTAAATTGAATATTTAAATGAAATTAAGATAGTGGTAATTGTGATCAGACTTAATGAGTGGTTATGATTTAGTTGGTTGTAATAATGCTAGTATTTGCACTTACGTGTATGGTAGCCATTCAAACCTTTAGTACTTATGGTGCTTAGGAGATCACAGAGCAATCAAGGGCTTGTATTTAAAGTTAAATTTCTTGACGTTCATCCTAATCAGTAGGTTTCAACTGTTAATACTTCATTGTATTGACCCTTTTACTTGAGTAGTTACTAATATGACATCCATTATATATTGCAGGACTTAAATTGCTTAAGTGCCACTCATATATGTGCCAGTGACTTTCATAAACATTTTAGTATACTCTTAAAAAGCTCCCCCAACAATATACCTCTCGTGGTATGATCATAAATCGACTTATTTCCCAATATTCATCCTTCATAATCCTTTCATATTTTACAGATAACATTTGTGATGTTTGTTTTATCCCGCATTATAATTTAAAATCTATATTATTTGTGATTATTAAGCATATTATTATAAATTAACAATGTTGACTCAAAATTACTGTGGGGTTATATTTATGGTTTGTAGGAGACTTTTAAACCCAATTACATTTCTTCAAACTTGAGTCTAAACAGCCAACCAATAGATAAAAACTTGAGTTTTGATTAAGATCATGAATGAATCAAAGTTAGACCACCATTAAATACCTAGAATTACTGAACGACCATTTCATCGTAGTATGGGATTCGCCAACAGTGTGTATCTATGATCTCATAGGCGGGATTCAAATTCAGGTTTATGTTAGTATCATTTACTGTAATGCCTGATAAATAATTAGTTTTACTTGTAGTATCTTTTTTTGTTAATGAATACATATAGAAATTTCAAAATATTGTAGCTTACTTAGATAGTTTGCTCCTGAAACACAAAAAAACGTTGGTGTATAGTAACATTATCATACTTTAACTAATTAAATAAGATTAAGTTAAACCTTTCTATGAATAGTACATTTATACAAAATACCAACTAATTGTATGCATTTAAATTAACCGTGTGTTATCTGATGGTTTCTTCAGTGGGAATAATTAAACATTACACTTATTGAATATATAGTTTTGATTCAACGTATGGTTTGTAATATTTTCCCTCTCTTACATGTATTATACGATGATACGTGAATAAGTTAATGTGATTAATCACTTAATATCAGAATCAAGATACGCGACCCAAAATAGAGAACCAGATTAACATTAAGGAATACTTTATTCAATACAATGAGTCCAGGGTAGAAATCAACGATAAGAAGTAAAATTGTATATTTAATAGTTCATAGGCTGTGGTCATTTGTTCACGCTCAACGACTAATCATACTTTACTTTCATTATCACATATCAAGTTTATAAATTAACTGTGTACTAAACAAATAGTTGAATAGTGTTATTCCAATACTGAATGTGAAACATGTTGTTAGTGTGTGTATAAGTGTGAATTGTAGAAGAAGTTGTAGTAAGATTAAAATCTTCATTATATAAGCCTGTTCACTTGTTTATCTTCCCATAGATTTTGGGTTCTAATATTCCTTCATATCTATAATTTCATTTCATCCTTTTAAACCATGTCCTCAACCTGTAATAATTCTTATTGTTGCTACATTATTTCAACTGCTTTGCTATTCATCTTGTTAATTTAACCCTGCCTTACTAATGTGATATTATGGTGTGTGATATTGATGTCGACAGATATAAGTAGTATATGTCACCAATCGAAGATGGAATGTCTGGAGGTAGAAGGATGAGAAAATCAATGAGAAAAGAACGAGAACAGAGAGCGATTAGTATGGAATCGAAAGAACAGTAAAGTCTTAAACAATTGATGGATATTTTGCAACTGAAGTATTTATAGTATGGTTGTCAGATTTTATCAAGGTATTCTGTAATGTTGTATCAAAATGTATTTGATTGTCCTAGCCTGTGTTCTCGTTCAATACACTATAACTTAAGGTCATATATGGTCAGTAATTTTTTCCAACATACATACAGCTGTTATCTTAATACAATCTCTTCTACAATTCACACTTATTCACACGCTTACAACAAGTTTCACATTCAGCATTGAATTAATACTATTAAACTATTTGTTTAGCATACAATTCATTTGTAAACCATAATATTTGTATTCAATAATTGTAATATTTGATTATTTCCATTGAAGGAACTTGAATAAGACAATCTATTGAAACATTGAATGTATATTAATTTTAATGGTAAACTAGTGATATTTAAAGTAATGTAAAATAAACAGTAGTATATATCATCTGTCAATTGAATATATATGTTATAAGCCAACCAAATGAACTTACTTCCACCTGTAACATAAACAAATCATATGCAAAGTAATTAGTAATCAATGGATGTTAATTATGAATAAATATTTTTATATGCATGATATAATTTGTAATTTATAAAAAATATATATAATATCTATAGTTCAAGTTCTGTGTGCGGAATCGTGGATACACACTGCTGATGAGTTCCATACTAAGACGAAACGGTTGTCTAGTGCTTCCAGGTTTTCAGTGGTGGTCTAGCTTAGATGGACTCGTAAACTCAACTTTTAAAACACAAATGAATCACCATTTTACGAGAATTATCTGTCAAATATTCAGTTTAGGTAAATTATAATCAATCTGTAAGCTATACGTGTTTTACATTCTCTGTCCTCAATCACTCCCCTTCTACTCTTTTGTGTTTTATTTGTATACTACTTATTAATATTGAGTAAATAGTCGTAACTCTAGCAATTTTTACCCTTATGTTGTAACGCTAGATTGTCGTGTAATATACTGAAATATAAACATATACTTATAACATTTATTGCATTTATCATCATTACTACTTCATCTCAACCATTGTAGCAGTTATTTAAAAGTTATGTATTTGTTTAATCACAACGGATTCCATATTGTTCTCTTTTGGTTCGGTTTTTGCTTGTTGATAAACCGTTACCAAGTTTACTCACATACTTACGCCTCTTACTCCCAATGGAGCATAGGCCGCCGACCAGCATTCTCCAACCCACTCTGTCCTGGGCCTTCTTCTCTAGTTCCATCCAATTCTTGTTCATTTTTCTCATATCTATCTCCATTTCCCGGCGTAATGTATTCTTTGGTCTTCCTCTCCTCCTTCGACCTTGAGGATTCCATATGAGGGCTTGTCTTGTGACGCAGTTCGGTGCTTTCCTCAATGTGTGTCCTATCCACTTCCAGCGCTTCTTCCTGATTTCTTCCTCCACTGGGATCTGATTTGTTCTCTCCCACAGTAGGTTGTTGCTTATAGTGTCCGGCCAGCGGATCTGAAGTATTTTGCGTAGACAACTGTTAATAAACACCTGTATCTTCTGGATGATGGCTTTCGTGGTTTTCCAGGTTTCCGCCCCATACAGTAGAACTGCCTTAACATTTGTATTGAAAATTCCGACTTTGGTGTTGGTTGCCAATTGTTTTGAGTTCCAGATGTTCTTCAGTTGTAAATATGCTGCTCTTGCTTTGCCAATCCGTGCCTTCACATCTGCATCAGATCCACCGTGTTCATCGATGATACTGCCCAAATATGTAAAGGTTTCTACATCTTCCAAAGCTTCTCCGTCAATTGTGATTGGATTGTTGCATGCTGTGTTGTATCGGAGAATCTTGCTTTTCCCTTTGTGTATATTGAGACCTATTGCTGCTGAGGCTGCAGCTACACTGGTTGTCTTCTCCTGCATTTGTTGTTGTGTGTGCGATAGAAGAGCCAGATCATCTGCGAAGTCTAGATCAGCCAATTGCATCCTAGCTATCCACTGTATCCCGTGCTTCCCTTCAGACGTTGACGTCTTCATGATCCAGTCGATCACCAGGAGAAAGAGAAAGGGTGAGAGTAAGCAACCTTGCCTAACACCGGTCTTCACTTCGAACGACTTTGTCAACTGTCCTCCATGCACGATTTTGCAGTGTAATCCATCATATGAGTTCTGTATGATATTGACTATCTTCTGAGGCACGCCGTAGTGTCGAAGAAGTTTCCATAGTGTTGTTCTGTCCACGCTATCAAATGCCTTTTCGTAGTCAATGAAGTTGATGTAGAGTGATGAATTCCATTCAATTGATTGTTCCACAATGATCCGTAGAGTTGCGATTTGGTCTGTACACGATCTATCCTTACGGAATCCTGCCTGTTGGTCTCGAAGTTGGGCGTCTACGGAGTCCTTCATCCTGTTTAACAATACCCTGTTGAAGACTTTTCCTGGTATTGAAAGAAGAGTGATTCCCCTGTAGTTGTCACAGTTGCTGAGATCGCCTTTCTTTGGTATTTTGATGAGAAGTCCTTCTTTCCAGTCTTTTGGTACCTGTTCTTCATCCCAGATCTTTCTGAAGAGAGTTTGGAGTATCCTTGCAGTTGCCGCTACGTCTGCTTTCAGTGCCTCTGCTGGAATGCTGTCTAGTCCTGCTGCTTTGCCACTCTTGATTTGTCTGATAGCCATGCTGATTTTTTCAATTGTTGGTGGGTCAACATCGATTGGGAGGTCCATGAGTGCTGCTTCGATGTTGGGTGGGTTCAGTTACCTAGTTTAGACACAGATGATAGCTGTCTTTTGCACTGTCATATATTGTAATTATTCTTTATGTTACTATTATAGGAAGCTCTTTTTATTTCAGATAAAAGGACGATGTAATCTCCGTAGACACCTCACAAGTTGAGGTTTGTAACTAATTTTTTGTATATTATTCAATAAGGAACCACTATTTTAAACAAATCTTTATTTTGTGAACTTTGATTTTGCTCATATCTCAATTGAGTCAATTGGACGCTTTGGTAGACTCAAGAGTGATAGAGTTTCAAGTGAAATATAGTTCTGTTAAATAAATATTGTCTGTATAATAACATAACAATTGGTGAGTAGATAAATATGAAACGTTGAAAATGTCCTGGTTCATTTTAATTTTATATTAAGATGACAGATTTAATATTCTTAATTTAATATAAAATCAACTTACCTGAAGAAATACTGCTCTCTCTTTCGAATGAGTGTCCATCTATGAAATTATAAGCAAGAAGACAAGACTTTAAATTACTACTGATGAATAACTTCACAAAAACTAATCAAACAACAAAGTTTTGGACAAGAATATTATGGTATTGTTGTATAACTCCAGTTCATACCAGAGTACATCCAATGAACACAAGTTCATTGAGCCAGTAACTTTTAACTTCATTTATAATCGAAGAAAGTTTATTGTTGTTATTGATTTTATGGATTGGAATTAATCAGTCATTTTTGATTTCTTTGGATCATTAGTAGATTGCCTTGACAGTGCTTTACAAGTTATAAGCATATTTAGGAAAACTTTTAATAGTGGTTATTTTTAGAGTTCAGGACGTGTGTTTTATACTATTTCAAACAGGTCGGTTAGATGTATTTAGAATCGGCTTTGATGTTGACACCATAATGAAAATCTAATACCTGTCGCCTTAAATGTTCAACGAGTTTTCCATTTAACTGCTGAATCTGTGTTTTAATATTAATGTGAACATTAAATTTAAAGTGTAGCTACATTTAACTGATGAGTTTGAATTAGGGAAGAACATACGTCTCGGTTTTCACTGCTAGTCACTCATGACTGAATAGAGCATAAGAGAGAATTCTTCCGCTCCCTACCTTCGTTTTCCGGTTGAGTTCGAAAGGAACTTGAGGACCAATAATGATCAATGTCTTAGTATAGTTCTTCATTGATAGCTATGTCATTTGGTAAATAGGTGGTCATCAGTTCTACATGGTAATATAAGCAATTTATGGTCAAACTAGACAAAGAATACAATGACGGATTTAATAATGATCTGATCACACGGGGCACAACAAAAGCCAACTGTTTGTTCCCCTTTTCATCATTGCATCACATTCATAGCCATCTTTTTACGTTTAATAAGTGTATTTAATAATATAAAAAGATAATGAATGATTCAACAACGTTAACGAAATACTCCAAGTATTGGACACAAGTTAAATTATCAAAACGTCAGCGCATCTTTCATTTAGTACAATTATTATGTTAATTATTTATAAACTTACTACACACTGGTGTTGAACTTCTTGTTGGTCGTCTTACTGATGTTCTGATAGACATACGATTGGAACCCGAAAAGTCATCTGTAGAATTGATCAAAATATTTTACATAATTAGGTCAGTAAAAATAATGTTGTTTCAGGCTATGATATATAAGTTTATTCAATACTATTTAGCTCAACTCAATAAGATATTCTGTAAATATCCTGAAATCTATTGATTATCACATCAATTTGTACATAGATCTAATATATTTTACAAGTAAGATGAAATGCATAATACTTGAATGCAGAATATATATATATATATATATATATATATATATATATATATATATATATATATATATGAACAAATCGGCTAAAAATATACCTGATGGTTTCGTATTCGTAACTGTAAAAGTAAATTAAATGAAGAAAGTATGGAAGTTTGAGTTCAACAATTTGAATATTATTACTTTTAATTCAACATTATACAATATCCTTGAACGTTTTTGAATAAAGTAGCTTTGATGTAGAACAGAATTTTTTAGTTGAACATATTACATAAAGCTAACATCTATGCTGTCGATATTTTCTTAATAAACCTCAAATTCGCTTAGTTATTATTATTATTAAATTTTAGATTTATTTTATTTACTTATTTATTTGAACACATACATATTGGTACAAAGGGGCATCGAATACATATACGTCACACAAGTCACTTGAATTGCGTGTGGGCTGTGATACTACCCGGGTGCCCAGACCGGAATAGGTGGTTTTCTTAGAGAGCCACACCAGGAGCATTTGACCTAAAGGTAGACCCTGCATGTCCACCAACCCGGTTATAGCGTTGAGTATCAACTTTTCGTCCTCTCATTTTCATAAACAACAGTAATGCCGCGAGAATGCAGTGATTTGGACTTCCCCGGTAGAGGCTATATACGCGTGATCATGTGAGAGCATTTGGAGAGGGAGAGCTGACTCTCTCCATCCTCAGCCTTACAAGGGCACGAAGTTGTACCAAGTTTTATAACTCCTCCCTGAACCCCTCTGGGGTTACTACCGGTTCCAAGCCTGGATAAAGGAGGTGGGTTCGGTATGGGGTTAGCGACCCCATCCCGTAGAAAACTAACTCCCTATATATGTGTTCATGCGTAAAACTAATTAAAATAATATCAGGTTTCATTATCACTGAATTATTTATTTATAATGTAAATTGGTTACTGTAATATAGTTAGTAGTATATATATTCACTTTAAAGAAAACTATATCAAATACATACCTATTGCTGTAAACAAAACAAAAAACAAAAGTGCGTGTGAATCATTTTCTTACTATATATATTCACTTATTTATAATGCATGTAACATACGTATTTAACTACAGTTATTCATTAACTATTCATGAATAAAGAACTTTTCAGTATAATATGCCAAATGAACGTCCTTTTCAAAGTTACAGTTATGTAATCTACCCCCTTGTGGGCCAGGGTAATTTTACATTGGTTTTCAGGAGAACCAGACATCATCCAGACTTTCACGTGACAACCCAAACAGTACAGCTCAATCCCGTTTAACGAGAAAGTTTGGTTAAACACATAAGTTGTGTTTAGATGAATGAAATTAAACTGACGACATCAGAAGTTTTAATGCAATGTCTTTCATATTTTCGACATAAATTTATAATATTTTGTAGACTTGGACTAATAATAAAATGATCCACTCAGGAAATCACTCCATTTAAACTTCCAGTAAGATATCTTAAATTTACCTGGAAGATATATTTTATGATAATTTAACTGTTATTATCTAGTTTATCAAAGATCATAAGCTATCACTTGTCTGTACGTGTCTCAAATATACGGTAAATATATCATTTGCAAAACTATTGATATTCGTGGTTTAGATTACTGATTCATTATGGAACATCACTGAAAACCTTATAGTAGCGGACAGATGTTTCTTCGTGATGTAAGACTGATTATCCGTTATGAACATCCAAGTCCTCACCACCTGTAGACCACTGAACTAGAATCCAGTGATTTATCTGTCTAACTTTGATCGACTCGTGGTATTGTGTGGTTATCTTTCTCACACTCAACATATTTGTACTTCAATGATAAATGTTTCTTATTAGAACCCCAGGAATTACATCTTAAAGCTAGTGTAGTGTAGTATAGTGTATGTATAATGTAGTATAGGTGAATCAGTTGAGAACGGAAAACTTTCACATGCTGATCCCCAGTAGTGTCACGGGTGAGAATGCTAGAACGAAACATCTTTTTAATGCTTCTTATTTTTCAATAGTTATTTTACTCTATGAAATAGTTAGTGATATGTTATTGTCAGTTTTGTGCAACTTTTGTGATTAGATTGAAGCCTCAAATATACCTATAGCCACTGAACATAAGATTTAACAAATTCAATTGAATATTAAGGTGTTCATCTCTTCCACGAAAAGATATTCTCTAATCACAGCTTTCGGATAAGTAAGGTAGACTTGGAAAAATCATAAACAATTAAACTTTCTAATAGTGGTAAATCTTATAATTGGACGCTAGATTCGGTTTCCCAAGCTCTTCTAGTAATACCTAGGCTAAACCTACACAGCGATTTGAACATAGGAGAGAAGGTGCGAAACATGGACGAAACGCTTTACTCCGAGATTCGTTTTTGTGCAGAAAATCTAGGGTATTTATAGCATTTGAGATCGCTTTGGGCTTCCGGTAATTTTTGGAACGCTAATAAATATAATAGCAGTATAGGTAATTATGCAATCAGGAACCTCGACATATGACGTTTCACTTTCTAGATGTTTCTAGCAAAACTACCGAATGTTGATTGGATAGGGGGTTTTCTCAGCTTTTTCAAAGCCCTTTTGACTTTTTTCGAGGAATTTTCTGGATCTTCCCAACAAACGGCTTATCAAACAAATCTGTAGTGTCAATTCTCTAAAAGCAATAGTCTAAAAAACTTTTAGAGAGAAGTAGCTGTCCTTGAGAAAAGTAGTAAAACAAACTTCTCAAATACATTTTTCTTAAGGATTACAAAACTAAACGATATGATTCATTTTAAGTATTTAAATTCATTATTTTACTTATATGAGAATAGTGTAAAATATTGTTTAATAACCAGTGACCAGTGGAATTCAACCAGGTCGTTTGTGAGTTAGTAATTCACTGAAGATAATGGTGGACGGTGGCGCGACTTCGTGGATTGGTTGAAGATAGACAATAACACTGTTGGATGCCGGCTCAATGGTCTAGAGGTTATGCGTTCACGCGCGAGACTGATAGGTCCTGGATTCAAAATCCGCGGGTGGGATATATATATATATATATATATATATATATATATATATATATATCGATACACAAGAATTAATAATGAAAAGTTTATAATCCAACGTAATTATCTAAATCATCTAACTTACTTGGACGTTCATCTGAATTCATAAAGTTTAAATTGATAACTGTTGGACTACATAATGAATTGTGTGTATCATCTGTATTCGGTAAACTAGTAGTAGTGACATTAATAGTTTTAGGTCGTAAATCTTCAGAACTTCTTGTATATACAGATTTAAAATGTATATCATCATTATTTGAAAACGAAGTAGGTCTGGAACGTTGAAAGTCTCCACTACGTATTGAGCCAGTTCTAGAACGTTCATCTTCGTTTATTATAGAGTGTCCTTCTGGTAAATATGGCGTATGATCCCAGTAACATTTGCATCTTTCTAAATAAAGAAAATAATTATATATAACAATTCAAAATTTAAAAAAAAAACATAGAAATGAGTAATCATATTTTCTCGTTATGTAGCTTGAGAAGAATGGATAAACTGGTTTGTTCGAAAGGTAGAATAAGCTATGTGGGCTCGACATAGACCATCCACTACAATAAATCATTTTTACATTTGGTCACATATTACTGAGCAGTGCTTTGTCACATAATATATTCTGATATGTAGAATAATACTCAGAGTATGTATAGAAATACGTTTGTGGTGTATGCTACTTATGTCGACAAACATAAGTAGTATTTACCATAAATCAGAAGTAGAATGTTTGGCAACAGAAAGAAGGAAGATCAAATTGATGAAAACAGAAAGGTAAATAGAAAAGAATTGAGAATTGGAAGAATCATAAAGAATGTAATAAACAATCGATCGGAGATTTGTAACTGACTAGCATTCACTTAATATATAGAAGACTAGGAAGAACATTGGTGCAATTATGCTTAAGTTCATATTAGAAAGAATAGAATGATTTCCAACTTTAAATATAATAATCAATAACTTTCAACTATTAACGCAATATTGATGATAAAATTTCTTAGGATTTTAGTAGTCTAGTGTCTTCTGAGGTTCAATTAGGAATCATTTTCACCGTTCTGTAAATCATTCATGTAGAATTGACCTTTAAAGTTATTCTGTAAGTAATAAGTCAATTCGTTCTAGTTAGCTGTCTAGTAATCTTTGTTGCCTTCATATGTTCTTATACTATTCTTCTGTCTTTTTCTCTTAACTACTGATCGTGTGACTGAATAACTTTCTCTTTTTGGGTTTGATCTATATCACTGTATCTGTTGATTATCAATTGATTTTAATGTCATCCTTGGGACTTTTAGGTATTTTTCGAGTTCTCCGATCATAAATTTTAACCTATCTTCATTACAATTCACGACTGCTATTATCCACATTTATTCAAATCATATAATCCCACTATTCATCTATTTCTACATATCTGTGGGTAAAAGAAGAAACTATGTAGAACCTAAGATATCATACATTATACAGGAGGCTAGTGTGTTATTTTAAATGTTGAGTATTCATAATTATTCAGGTAAAGCTGTACCGTTTTCCGGTAATAACTTGAATTTATATTGTAAAAGAAAAAGATCAACAATAATTAAGGCTTTTTGTCACAGTAACCTGGATTACATTTTGTAAGAAATCTTATTTAGGAATATAGTTAATTTTTTTAAAACTAATTCATCATGAACTATTTAGGGATACTACCCCTAACTCACTGTCTGAAAAGTTGGAAAAATGAAAATTTCCCAAACGTGATAAAAATTATCTTGGTGGTCTAGTAATAGTATTCCGACACTAGATAATGGGTTTTAAGCGTTCTTCAAACCCTAACGCTTCAGGTTGGGCTATTTCATTTACTATCATACATATGTGTTGTAAGCTACATTGCTATGTAGAGCTGAAGGTCTCATATGAGACCGGAGGTTCACCATTGATATTGTGGATGATTTGGGATTGCTTTGGCAAATTTTGCCGACTGTTCGTGCATAAAACTGGTTTGCTGGTTAACCGATTTCATTCATACTGGTGGTTGCTCTTCAGTGTTCTCAAGGGCCATTGTCATTTCGACATTGTAAAGCATGTCGTCATAGCTAACATTAATGAGTTTGACTGTCGTGTAAGCAGAATAGGTCAACTTTGTCCTGTTCGTGCCGTGTATAATTGATTCACGCGATCATTGATCGGAATAACTATACATATGAAGTGAATGTGTATGTGAATAGTGCGAATGATCCACCAGAGTGCTTGGTACCTGTGTGGTTGCGTCACAGGATTGAGCTGTACTATTCAGATTGTAGCGTTAAAGCTTATACGGTGTCTGGTTCTCCTGTGAAGCGGGATTGAGCTGTACTGTTTGGATTGTCACATAAAAGTCTGGATGATGTCTGGTTCTCCTGAAAACCAATGTAAAATTACCATGACTCACAAGAGTATATTATATAACTATAATAACCATCGTTAACTATGTGCAAGAAGACTAACCTGATAATCCTAGACTTTCTCTAAAAGATCGTCTATGACTTGATCTAATTGAATTACGATCCAATGAATACATACTTTCTATAACATTACAAAAACAAACATTGAAATGAAACAGAATCAATAATGATTTCAATGAAATAATAATGAGATTGTTTAGAGAGAAAACTAAAATGTATCATTCACACAAACTAGTAATATAAATGTCTAAATACATACTGTCTATTAAAAGAAAAAAAATCAAAGAAAAATATAGCTGTCAATATAGTCAAAGTATATTCAATCTTTGATGATGAACCATCATTTATAATAAGCACTAATTAGTATTCTTAACTATTTTACTTAGAATTCTATAATAATGTACAATTGATTGACATCAGTAAATGAATAGAAATAAATGTAACTGTCGTAATTTCTCATCATATTATGATTGTAAAACTATAGATATGATTGACAAGATTATGTAACAATGAAGAGTATTAACTACTGAATGATTCCTAATAGAAACAAAAATACCTATAGTGTATTAAGAATCTTAATAAATAAAGAAAAAGAACTGATTACATAATTAAAATTAGTTTAGAAAGAAGGTACAACTTTGTTAATGAATCAGTTGTTTATCTAGTTTGAAATTATTTGCTCTATGAGTAAATACTTAATTCATTTGCGAAGAAATATTTTTATAATTGAATTCATGAGGTAAAACATCATGAAAAATCTGGAATCACTGGATGGCCGTTTTGTCTTAGTATGGGACTCCTAAGCAGTGCGCATCAATGATTCAGCTCGCGAGACTCTAACCCAGGACCTATCGGTCTCTCACGCGAACGCTTAACCTCCAAACCACTGACCTGGCATCCAATGATGTTAATGTCTAGTTTTTATGTTCATTTATGATCAGAACAATTTTTTTTAATAAAATGTGATGAAAATACAAAGCAATTATTTTAATCATGTAAAAAACCACAATATAAATATAATCTTAACTAGTGCTCATAATATTCGATTAAACTAATGATAAATGTCTTTAAAGAAAATGAAATTAAAGGGAAATCATCTTGATTCTATATTTTGTATTGTTTGTTTAAATTATCCCATTGATATTCATGACTGTAATTGATCAGTCTCTTACTAAAATATGTGTATCCTGCGCAAATTGCCTCAATATTGACTTTAGTCACAAGCATTATAAGCAAAGATAGGTGGTGACCAGTAGAGAAATCCATTTCGCGCGTTTCGTCCTATTTGGAACTCATCATTCGGATGTACCTGCATCCTAGAATTGATATTCACTCCAGACTCGTTCTCAGTACTTTACATTTCGAACACCACTTAGCTAATGGGTCCTGAGAAGATACAAACAAACAATATCAAGTGAATTTATATTTCATCCTATTATATAAACTAATAAATATCTGGACTCATTAGCTAAGTAGATAACATCATAGTGTTTAAAGCAAACGGTTCTAGGTTTCAGAACTAGAGTGAACATCAACTCTAGAATGTAGGTACACTCAACTGACGTGTCCAAAATAGGACAAAACGCGTTGCTTGGATTCCACTACTATTCATCATCTATCTTTGTTTACCTTGATTCATGTTTTTAAAGAAACTGACAAGGTTAGACCAAGAAAACTAATAAAACTATTTATGTATATGTATTTATATAAATAAACATGTTTAGTATAATAACACAACATGATAATGTATATAATATGATAATTCAAACTACAATGTTAGTATTGTCACTTTTCATACAAATCTACGGTAGAACAAGACTCATTTAGATAATAATTATCAATTTATTTCATTACATAATCGATGACATAACGTATAAATGTAATTTATTAAAATCATATTACACCTAACTCATTGAATAGTTCAATTATTTCATTATTCTTGATATGAAACTGATTTAAATTCATTTTCCTTATCTAGTTATTCAATAACTAACATATATTGAATTCCATTTTCTATATAAATCAATTAAAGTGTCTTAATTTTTCAGAAGAGGATTTTGTAGAGATCTTAATCACTTCAATGGTTGAGATCATGAGTCAATTGAAGTAATCAAGAGATAGTACGAGTTGCCTTGACAAATAATGAACCATATAATTCATAGTTTACTAATAATCAAAAAAAAGATCAATGTAGGGAGAATATAAGTGAAGTAGTTGAATAATGAAACATTTAAAAGTAAGTAGATAAAATTATCAATATAATATTGTGCAATATTACCAATCTATTGAGATTACAAGTGCATACCATTGTATGCTAACTTGGTCATCTATAGATAGTATTCATTCCAGGGATCAATGGTTCTAGGTAGAATATTTTGTGGTACAGTTGTTTGTGCATACTTCTGAGGAGATTTGTATTCGGAAGAGATAACTGTTCAGTCCTTCCTTCTATTTAATGAATATTTTATTTAGGTCAATTCGAAATTTCAATCACATTCAATAATCTTTATAAGACCCATATTAGTTAAAAGGAAGGAAGTAAAGAATTAAGCGTAATTTAGTAATGTGTAGTTTGTTTGATAGAATATTTATAGAGTGAACTGAATAAACCAACAGACATGGATTTACTCAGAGATTCAATATTATTGATTTCTTCAAATAACTATTTTTTATAAAAACAATTATCGAATTTCAATCTTAAATGTAACGAGTTATTGTATTGTTTAATCTTATATTGACATGTAATTCCTCTAATGAGATTGTTATCCTTTGAGTTTACACTAATGTCATGAAACATCACTCAAATGAAACAACTAGTACTTCAAACGTATGAAGCTCAGAAAGAAGAAGAAATGGAGTGGGGTTATTACGCCGGTCCAGATGCTGTTTTTGCTCATCGATTCCTCGTCAATGGGAATCATGATCGCTGGGTTAAGTATAATCATCCAAAAAGAGCACCGGAGACCGATATAGTTTTTGGAACACACAGTTGCTATCATATAATCAAGTTTAGATTATATTTTACTCATGTTTCTAATGAAATAAATTACTTGAAAATTATAAACACTATTATTTTCTAGTTGAATTCATGAGTCATTTGAAGCTAGACCATCATGGAAAACCTGGAAATACTTGACAGCTGTTTCGTCCTAGTACAGGACTCCTCATTATTTGTCTTAAGTTTTATTTGTGATCTTTTTTTAAAAAAAATCTAAGACAAGAGGATGAACTTAATAAGGTACATTTCGTGTTGTATTTAAAATATAAAGTGAAAATCAGTATTCTACCCCCTTGTTGTTATAACTTTTAATGGACACTAATCTTTTTGGATATTTGTTGTTAGAAGAAAAATCACTGAGTTAAATTAAGTGCGAACAGTTATTGTACATGCTCTATAACAAAATAAATGTTATACTATCTGCTCTGAGTCAATACTGATCTACCCAGATAGAAATTATGAATATAGACAAGTAAACGTTTTAATGAATTGAAAATGAAATGAGACTATAATTTATGGACGAACCAATCAGATTTAAGATCTTGAATTTTAGCGGGAAATCAATTCGTTCATTTGATTAAATAGAATTTTGGCATTATAGCTGATGTCAATTCGTGATTAGAAAACCCTATATCTAATCTAAATCATAATTCTAATTCCTCACACTGATTTTTAGTCCTCATTTATTGCTAATTGTTAGGCAGACACTCTCTAAGTTAGTTTAGTGTCACTCAAAGGTCATCCATAAATGATAATCTCACCGATAAAATCGTTACATTATTATTTCAATGTAAAGTCGCTTATCATCTATTTACATGTAACATTTGCCAAATTCATGAATACATTACTAAATAGATCTTAAAAAACAAAAAATGAAAGAAATCAATCCAGAAATGTTATTCTCATCAAAAAACGAACCCTCCGACAATATGATGTAGTAAACTACTTTGTTTCAATAGAAATGACAAAAAAATGATTATATATAGAATTCATACACTTATAGATTGTATTATTGATGGAATATGTTCAATTAATGAGTAGTTAAATTCCAGTAAGTACTTTGCTCCAATTTCAAAATGCATATTTGTATACTTTCACAATTCTATCTAATGATCATAATCGAAATCATCTCAAGACTATCAAGACAAGTATATTATTACTTTAACATTAATAACCCTATACAACTTCTAATCACTTTGATGTTCTATTACATTGATTGATAAACTGTTTAAGATTAACAACAATAACAACAACAACAAAAGATTAGTTCTTCATAAAACAAAAAATTAAAAAAGTTCCAGGCAATTTATTCTTTAATTTCAATAATCTGATACACTCTAATAGACAAATCAGATAATTATTCAATTCATTATCATGATAATAATTATTTATTGATTTGGCATTTATTAAATAATCAATCTCTTTTTTATGTATGTATATATTATACGTGACAACTATTTGTTGTTGTTTTTTAGTTGTCATAGTAACCAACATAACTTTTCTTTTCCTTTTTTTCCTCTATTTTTTTTTAAAATTTGAAAACGATTTCAAGTTATGTAATGAGCAATAAAATTCAATTCATTATATAAAGAATAAATAAGCATAAAGAATGTATTTCTTTATATTAAACGTTTATATTAGAATAAAACATGTGATTAAATGATTATAATTTCGGTATTTTTATATTATACTTTGAAAAGGGTTATTATTTTATAATAATGATATTCCTTATATGATGATACATTCTATGAAAGAGATAAATAACCATTTGAGGTATTCAAATTTTAAAAAAATCAAGTTTCTAGTAAGATTGATTCAGTTTGAATTAATTAATGAAATTTTATCATTCTTAGTTGATATTTAAGTATCTTGTATTGATATTGACATGAAATTACAAGTTGATATAGAATAAATGGAATGTACCTAGCATTGGAATGTATGATGTATGTGTTTGTGACTAATCAGCTGAATGTATTTGGATTCTGAAGCGAACATGAAATCTGGAATGCAAGTACATAGAGTTGACTGATACTAAATAGGATGAAATGCGAATCCTGCATTCTACTGTTAGCCACCATTCATTCATTTAAGAGTACGAAGGTTAATAGGTTCGGACAATGTTTACTATTAGAATTTTATATTAGCATTTCGCTTTATTTAGAACTAACTATTTAAATGTAACTCCAATTGTGTTGATTATTACATTTGACCAATTCACTATTTACTGAGCTATTAAGTTCAAGTGTTCATTAAATTATTCAGTGGGTGTAATAATATTATTAGTACATTGTAATAACCAGTTATCATTACATGAAGCAGGGTAAAAAGATATTAATTTGTTCAAGATATAACCATCAGAAATTATTTCTAATCAAAAAAGACTCTTGATTCGAATTCTAAACCCTAGATAAATATATTATTGTATAGTTTAAAATTATTATGTTTAAACTTTGTTAACTTATCTTTCTGTTACTAGGTGCCCCCCCTTTTCAAATAATTACAATTTATTGTAGTATATCACATTTTCAGCATACTTCTTTTTATTTCACTTATCATAATCAATCAACCTATCAATTAAATAACGTAATTAGGCTATTTGCAATTCCTATTTCTTCAATGAAATAATCGATTTTAAAGTCATTTAAATAATAATTGTGTATCATTTTATTTTTCATAGTTGTATCACATAGTTCTTAACCGTTACCTCTCATATAAATCATTAATGAACAATGATTGAGAAGTATTATATTGTCTCTGATATAAACAACAATTAATGGATATTAAACAAATTATTTGATCATTTAAATGATACTTTCCATTACATATCAAAATAGAAATTACGAAAAGAATAAAAATCAAGATGCTAACACAATAGTATGAATTCATTTTATTTCGTTGGTTCTCATCAGCTGTTTACAATCTGTGATATTTCAACATCATTATTACTTAAATGAAAGAGTTTGGTCGCAAGTTACTTTTAAGACACCTCAATATAGTATAGTCAGGGTGTAATTAAACTTAATAGACTGAATATTGTCAATATATACCTTATGTAAAAGAACATTCTATAACATTGATTGTAACAAGAGTTCATAGGGCTAGAAATAAGTGGTTACATAATGAGTAAACACTAATAGGAATTAAATGATGAGTAACCACTTGTTTCTGTCCATTTAAAGTGTTGTCACAATCAATGTTATAGAATTTTCTTTTATATAAGGTATATATTGACAATATTCAGTCTATTAGATTTATTTACACCCTTACTATACTATACTATGATATCTTCAATATAAATTCCAACCAAATCCTCTCATGTAAGTAATTATGATTTATAAATATCGACAGCTGATGAGAACCAACGAAATAAAATGAATTCATACTATTCTGCTAGAATCTTTATTCTTAGTCTCTTCAATAATGATAAAAGGAACTATGTATGTATGAAACAAAAAAGACAAAAATGTATTATCTAAAATTTGAATGACAAAATTCATAGTATAAAAGCCTTTTTAATAGCCGAATACAACTTATGAACATTATGATATCATTATTGAAAACATTATAACTTGCCTCTTGATGTATCATTATCTAAAAATAATGTTCACTAAATATTAACTTTAAAATCATTGAAATAAATGTAAATAAGTATTTCAGTAGTTAACATAATCCAATGGTGAAAAAAAACATGTTTACAGAATGTTGTGTATATATATATATATACATTTGTAAAATGTCAATCCATTATCTCAGACTTGATTGTTCCTTTGTTTACACATCAGCCATTCTCTATTCTCGCTCTCTTCTCTTCAATCTCTCCAAACTTCACTTTCCATTAGTGATACATACTACTTATATCTGTCGACATCAGTAGCATATATTACAGTATGTTTACGATTAGTCAAAAGTTTGATTTAATATTTCAATATAATAGGCTATAATATGGTCTTAAACACATTCTTTCTTTCCATTTTTTATTTGAAAAATACATACAATCGCATGACTTCAACATTTTACAATGAAGCTAAATTGTTCAAATAATTATAAGCTGAAAATAATAATGATTACAATTAGAGTATACTTTAAAGCTCTTTCATATATAATAAATAATTTACAGTAATGGTTGGCTATATTAGTCTTCTTAGATTGTTTCTTATTATGTAACTCACATGTTATAGTATTAGTAAAGGTAATCAATGAATTTTAAATATTGTATCTTTGAAAATCCCAAACACCCATTACAACTCGTCTAATATAAGTATTCTATGGCTTTAGTTCTTTAATAATTCTTCAGCTAGTCAACTTTTAAACCGAACTGTACACTGTTACTTAAATTATTCAATTAAAAAGATGTTAAAATGAATTGTCCTAGTAAATGTATCAGTATGAGGATTTTTAGAGATTGTAATATTTCACGGTGGTCTAGCTTAGATCAACTCGTGATTTTAATTATGACAAGATAGATATGCATATATATGTAATCAACTGTATTTGTTGACGAATGATAGTTGCTATGGCAACACAACTAAGAATATTTATAAGTATATTTTTTAAATGAAATTCAATATTCTATTCTTTTTGATTGTTAACACAATGAATTTAATGCACAATTAATAAACTATGATGTATATATAAATAGCTAACCGCATAATTAACAATTATACATTAATATGTTTATTATTATTACTAATGTATCTTTGTTCATCTTTTCCGATATGATAAATTTTATTTGAATATAAGTATTAAATGAAATGATAATAATTATCTTACTTGCTGATCCAATATCATTCACTTGTTTAATGAAGATACAAAAAGCGGTATTAACATTATTATTGTTATTAATATTATTATTATTATTATTATTATTATTATTATTATTATTATTATTATTATTGAAATGTAATGATGTAACATAGAAACATGTCATTTTCTACATTACAAGCATATTACCGCAAAGATATGTGTAATGTGTAAACACACATGTACACTAGTTTTAAGTGATTTTCAATGTTAGTAAATAAAATAAGTGGTGTACTAAGCCAATTATCATAGTTCTGAAGTATAAAATCTACAATCTACTCCAATTCTAATAATCTGACATGTATTTGAGTTAAAATCTCAATGCATTAACTTAATGGACATATATATATATATATATATATATATATATATATATATATATCCCACAATTTATTTGTACCTAACTTTTGTATATTACTTGTTCGTACTCAGCGGTGTGCATCCACGATTCCGCCCAGCGAGATTCGAACCCAGAACCTATCGGTTTCGAGCGTGAGCGCTTAACATGTCGACTACTGAGCTGGCCGGCATTCAACAGTGTTAATGTCTAAATTAAACCAATTCACGAAGTTGCGCCACCGTCCACTATGGTCTTCAGTGAGATACTATCTCACAACAGACCCGGTTGAACTCCACTGGTCACTGCTTCTTACTAGAATTTCAAGAAATACTTCATGAAGCCAGTCACTAGTGAGCCTATGTTAATTAATATCAGAAGCTTCATTTGTCTAATGATCTCGAATATTGAAATTGCAATCAAAAACTACAACAAAAACCCCTTCTACTACAGAATTAACATTCAGCTAAGTTAACAATCAGTAAAATCATTGAAATGGATCCAATTTATCAACCAAATAGATAAGTCAAACTATTATGAAATCAGGATTGTCGTTAATAAGGAAGATGACAACTATTTAAGGTCAACAAAAAGAGTTATTAAACACTTGTGGTGAAATTCTCATAGTTTATTAATACTTGAGATTTTTCTCCAACGATATGGTTTAGAAAGATAAGGAAAGCTCAAAATATTATGTAACTTAATTTACAGAGCGTGATTTTAGCAAGATCTCTCTCCTGAACGACAAATCTCTACAATCTATAAGTGATATAATTAAGTTACGTTTATAGACTAATTATAATTAACTTAAACTGAATATTTTAATAGATGATTCTTATGAAATGATGAGTTATTTATAATTATATCTACGAACCATACTAAGCTAAGGTAATAAATATGATTGTAATATAGAGATAATAAACTGAAATAAAATAACTGAATCAGTTTTAACATATACTCACATCTTGCACTTCCTCCATCTGCTAAACATTGTCATTTTAAAAATAATAAATTTTAACAATGCAGTTTACTTTATTGTCAATAGTTTAACAGTAATAATAATATATAAATGAATACAACGCAATTTCCTGCGTTCTAGTAAGAAACCATAACCACTAGAGTTAATCTGTGTTGGGTATAAGACAATTACCTATTGAAAACAATGGAAGATGACTACACGATGCCATAGATTGATTAAAAACATTATTATCGTCGTCAGTGGTGCAGAATTAAAGAGTAAAGTGTGAGACCAAAGGTCCTGAAGTTGATTGCTGTTTACAGAATCGTGAATAAGTACCGCTACAACGAAACGACCTTTCAGTGCTTCCATGTTTTTAACTGAGATCTAACTTAGATCAGTTTACGATTTCAGTTGAATGTAGTAACTTTATTTCAAATATTAACAATTCACTGTTGACTAACATAAGTAATCGAAACTTTATATACATTTTTGTCCAGTAACACATAACAAAATGTCAGTAAACTAAGAAAAATTTCAGTTAATCAATATTTCATACTATTTGAAATGATCCGTGGCTATTAATTTATATTGTGTATATAGTTGGTTAATCTCATTTAGATTTATTCTCAAAGTGACTTGATGCTTTATGTAACATGAAACTGTTAAAACCATTGAAAATGAAGTTAATCTCTGTCATCATTTATCAGTAATTAATTTAACAATGATCATATTCACTAGTCAGTAAAAAAAACAACTGAACCATTAACTAGCATTTTAACGACATCGAATACGTAGTCGACATTCTTGTTCATTTTGAAGTATAGACATTAAAATGTTTGGAGTAGATATTTAGTTCTATTCGACAGTCAATCAAAAATATTTTTCCAGTAAAATGTGAGGAAGAAATTATAATTATCAAGATCCATTCTACTAACTCAATAAAGTTACTTTAAATCGATGAAAAATAAAATAAAAAGGTATAAGTCGTTGGTAGCCTTTCATCTGACTTCAATTAAATCGTATGAATGATTGTTGTTAAAATATATATCCTGACTATTCTCGTATATAATTATCGACTTAAATCGCGTTAGTCAATAACGGAATGAAATAAATCAAATACGAGAATAAATGTTCGAATACGTATATTTTGTACACTCATTGTCCTAGAAAGACGACCAGAAGGATGAAGTGAATCGAAGAGAGAGAAGCAAAATGACGCGCGGTTGAGAAGGCGTATGAGCCCACTCCATTTCAATCAAGCATTAATTGATATTTATAGTTACACAAAAATAAGTTAAAGACGTGTGATAAATAGGATAAAAAGTGTACACAAATGCTCATATAAAAACAGTCAAGGGTGGTAAGCTAATAATTAATAAGGTGAAAACGTAACTCAAGAGTAACAGATAAATCGGGCCGTCCAAAAGCTATAATAAGTTATGTGGACTTAACATAGTAACCGACATTACAACTCCAAGAAGCATATAATAATCTTTAGTTATGTAATACTACCATTATGTATTATAAATATCCTAAGTAATTATAGGCAAAGATGGGTGGAGGCTAGCAGTGGAATCCAGGACGCACGTTTCATTCTATTTGGGACTCGTCAGCTAGATGCACCCGCATCTCAGAGCTGATGTCCACTCTTGGACTCGAACCCAATAACGTTCGCTTCAAACGCCATCGCGTTATCCACTTAACCACTGAGTCCCAAATAAAACGAAACACGCCTCAAGCTAGATTCCACTGATAGCCACTATCCATCTTTGTTTATAATACTTTAAATTAAGACAATATCGAGGCAATACGCACAGTATGCATATATACCAATAAGAGACTGATCAATTTCAGTCCTAAACATCAATGGGAAGATTCAAGTAAAACAATATTAAGTGAATCCTGAGTAATTATTATCATCATTGAGTAAATAACATATTACAAAAGTATTTTGTTTTTGGATTTTCTCGAAAAAAACAAACAAAATATAGATAGTATGGAACCTTAAATGATAAAAAGTATTCAAATATAAATCTTATAACATCATTCATCTTCTAGGTATCATTACCAAGGTTTGATTTGATAATTTCGAATAAATTGAGCATTGGGTTGATTGTTCCTTTGTACTATTTAAACTTGGATTAATTTTAATCTGGTTATTTATTCTCTAAAGAAGTGGCCTACACTAAGTTACGAAACGTCAGAAAATCTAATTTTCTACTCATTGGGATATTACAAATATATTATTTATTTATATCGTTCATCTTCATTAACTTAATGAATAAAACAAAATACAATGAGAAAGTAAATTAAAAAGAAAAATAATATTTATAATATTCCAAAATTAGATTTTCTAACGTTTCGTAACTCAATTTAAACCATTTCTTCAGAGAATGAATAACCAACATCAAAAATGAATCCAAATTTTTTTGGATACGGAAGTATTTAGAAAATTTTTTTTTTTAATTTTTATAATTCATATTTTAAATTGTAAATATTTCAATTCTATTGGTTATTACTTAAATAAAGCTTTTTTGTTTTTTTTGTTTGTTTGGAAAAACAAAGGAATCATACGATTTTACATTACTGAAATTATTTTTTTGTTTTATAAAATCCTATCTGTATTATTTTTAAAAAAATAATATATTTCACTTTAGAAAAGAAAAAGACTAAAACAACTTATTACCTTTGATAATATTATGTATTAAGAATCGTTAATTTGCTTTTGATCATTTCGATATGATAATAAACTTCTCTTGTTAATAATAATCATAATAGCATCTTTTATTGTACGAGGCAAAAACCTGGATAAATACGAAAGTCATCATCTAGAAGATACAAGTATTTATTAACAAATGTCTACGCAAAATACTTCGGATCCATTGGTCAGACACTATCAGCAACAACCTACTGTGGGAGAGAACAAACCAGATCCCAGTGGGCGAAGAAATCAGGAAGAAGCGCTGGAAGTGAATAGGACATACATTGAGGAAAGCACCCAACTGTGTCACAAGACAAGCCCTCACATCGAATCCTCAAGGCCAAAGGAGAATAGGAAGACCAAAGAACACATTACGTCGAGACATGAGAAAAATGAACAAAAATTGGATAGAACTGGAAAGGAAGGCGGTGGACAGAGTGGGTTGGAGAATGATGTCCAGTGGCCTATGTTCCATTAGGAGTAACAGGCGTAAGTAAGACAGTCGGATTCAGGTTACGATTTACCCGACATTTAGGTGGAAAAGCAAACTTACCAGTATATCGGCCTGTAAAAATAGATATATTACAATTAATCATTTTTTATTTACAAGAAGAACAAAAAGTTCAACCGATAGGAAGTAAACGTGTTAATTTGATTCAAATTATCCATAAATCTTATATTATGAGTTTTCATGATAATTTATTATATAAAAATTATGTACAGTGTAATTTCAAAACAACAACTATATAAATTAGTGTAAATAATATTCTTATATACATTGAAACTAAGAACACAACTCAAAATTGTACATTGAACTGGAATAATTCAGACTGGTAGAATGAAACATTGATGAATTTATTGTTCATAGAATGAAGGTTTGTAGAGACTGTAATAATTGTTATATTTGAATTCATGAGTCGATGTAAGCTAGACCACTATTGAGAACTTAAAAGCTCTGGATAACCGTTTCCTCCTAGTATGGGATTTTTCCAATCCGTATCGGACAGAAAAAGGTATCTACCACAGACATTTAATGAATTGTCGCACAAAATCATGAATCGATTGAAGCTAGATATTAACGTCGTTGGATAACAAACTAAAGGCCTAGAAGTTAAGCGTTCGCACGTAAGACCGAAAGTTCTGGGTTCGAGTCTAGCGTGTTAGGTCATGGATATGCACTGTTGAAGAGTCCCACACTAGAACAAAACGACCGTTCAGTGCTTCCAGTTTTTCAGTGGTAGTCTAGTTTACGTTGACTCATGAATTCAATGATTAAGAATTTATTGTTGTCAATAACTGATATTACAAGCCCGTATTGTGTATTGATTTTGGTTGGCATTTGGGAAAGTTATAATTTTCATTGCTTTTTTTCAACAAAACATTTCTTAAATATCATTTTTCAGAAAAACTAACTGTATTTTATTTGTAACTTTTGCAATCATTTACCGGTCATTAAACCAATCATTATTCGGTTACTTGGTCAACAATTTAAAAAACACTGTACCCTCTGATCTGAATAATTTAGTTGTGAAGCTTTTATTATTGTTCCAGACAATAATCATCAGTAGTCTACTTTTTACATCTAGTCTTCGCTGATTGTTGTTTAGGAAACCCTTATCAATTATACTCGAAACAAGGGACCTTTGCAATTCCCTCGACGCGAAAGTAGGAACAAAAATACTGGTATAAGTGATAAGCGTTTCCGACACAACAATCAGCGAAAACCAGTTATAAAAAGTAGCGTTTAAACAACACGATATATTAAATTCATGAGTCAATTGAAGCTAGACGACTATGGAAAACCTGGAAACACTGGATGGCCATTTCGTTCTAGTATGAGACTCGTATATATTATTTTAGGTTATATATCCCAATACTTTCGAATTTAGATAATGACCATTACATTTAATTGTTTACTAATAAATGAATACATACCTATACGCAATTAACATCAAGTCAAATTGGAATAGCATATTTATTCAAATAAATTTATCATATTTTATTTTAAAAATTAAATATTTACTTTCATTGTCACCTATGGAAACAAATCATGTAGCAAAAAAGAAAAAAAGAAAAACAACATATATATATATATATATATATATATATATATATATATAAGAGAAGAACAAATGTAATTCGATTGTAAATAGTTGAATTTTGCTATTGTTCAAGTTATAGATTATAATTGACCAGTAACTTTTTAATTATGTGTATATTGTGCGGATGACTTTAACATTACTATCAGATGTAAAACATATGAAAACAAAGTTGTATAGTGAGTAGTAATGAATGAATATTTTGTTCTTTGTGAGACGAGTCAATTGGATATGCCTGCATCTCATAGTTCATGTTCATTCTGGAACTAGAACTTACTAACTTTTGCTTCAAATGTGAATGTACGGATGATGATGATGATGATGATGATGATGATGAAACGTGTATCCTAGATTCTACTGCTAGCTACTACTCAACTATGCTTAAAAAAGAACAAATACATTTTTATAATTTAAGTCACAAACTAATCTTAGATAGATCACCATTAAAAATTTGAAAGCCCTAGATGACTAGTCTGTTCAAGTGTGAATCTCCTTAATAATGTTTAGGTCGTGGATGCTCACTGCTAAGTCTAATCCCCTCTAATTACTTATCTCTAATATAAAGTTAATCCGTACACACTAGACTGTTGAGCTAACTTCAAAATGAATCTTAATTATAATTGAAATATTGATTAGTTGAAGCTGAAATATGTCACACAATTAGTCACAAAAATTAATTGATTATTCCACAGTGTATTATTACCAGAGATCAAATGCTGTGAAATAAAACTTCATACTCTTCGAGCATATTGGGAAAAAAACATGACTGATATGCAATTTTTATGTAATAATAAATTGTTCGGGGAAAAAAAGTTACAAGGGTAAAGAGTGATTTATAAAACATTTACGCAATATGATATAAGAACGTTCATCTAACGTTCAACGAATTAGTTTCACAGTATTTGGGCATTGAGTTGATATGAAACATTAAAGAGGAAGAATGTATTTGTGAAAACACAGTGAATGATTTTGAAGTAAATCCAACGTTTTGTCTGACAATCTGATTCAAACGTTTTCAAGGGAATATAATCAAACATCAAAATGATCGATTATGTAAATAGGTACCTAGGTATAAATACATTCTTCCTCTTTCATTTACATAATATTCACAATGGATTGTTACGTACAATATAGTACTACATATCAAGGTTGTATTATAAATATAATCAAGTCATACCAATCTTTTTAGAGTATATACTTTCACTAAATTAGTTACTAAGCATTTTAAACTTAGAAACGAATATGATATTTATTGTTCAGTAAAGCACACTGAAAAATCAAAAAACCCACGAATCTGTATTGCCTTTTGTTATTGTTTAATAATTTGTTGCAGTTATATCCCAATGCGAATAATGAATAGCAACTTTTGGAATCCATTTATGGAACAATACTATACATATATTTTTATCGTATAATTGATAAGTAACTAAACTATTCATATTCATGTCTCTCTTATTATGAGTTTTAGTTTGACTTATGAACTATTATTACACAATTTACCATTCTTGAGTTATACTCTGTCTATCAATTACTATCTCCCTTATTCACAGCCATATTTGGCTAAATCCTGTACAAATGTTGTTTCATATTTTATGGTACGGTGTGGTCTGTCCGGTTGGTATATAAACGCAGTGTGTTTGAAATATGATGAATCCAATTGCAGAGGCTGAGATTGGTGTTCTGGACTTAACAGGCTGGGCTAGGCAGGAAGCAGGACCAATAAGTACTCTATACTGCTCGTACGGGTTTTATGCGTCATTGATCCGATCGATAATTCACTGCTCTCTAATTGGCGGTATCATTACGTTATACAATTAATAGGACATAGGGAAGAAGTTATAATAGTTGCTTATAATTATTATCCAGATGATAACAGTTTGTGAATGAAAACTATTACTATAAAACACATAAGAAATATCATTGAATTGATTCTATTATCTTCATTATTTTCAGAGTATATTTAAAGTTATAAGAAAGATAATTTAAAATATAAAACTTACCACATCTTTTAACTCCTTGATAATGTGGTACATTCCATCCGAAATCCCCTCTATTACCAACAGGTAAATAACGTCCAACAACATATGCTTTTGTTTGATCTTGACTAAAGGCTAATCCAAATCCAGCATGTGTTGTGGATTTCCAAATCATTTGAGTAAAATGACCTAAAATATCAAAAATGAAGATGAGGTTTAATTTGCCAACCAGTTGAGTTTCGACATGGAGCATTTAAATTTTCGAACACTTTTCCGTTAATATGAGTAACCTGGCATTGGTTAGAAAAGTATAAACCACACAGAAAAAACAGCTACTGTAAGGAATTATAGATACTCACACTATTCCTGCCTCTTAACAATGTCTACATCATATGTTATTTGTAATAAGTAAGCAGTTATTCAAACCTTACATAAAATGCTAGACCTTTTAACAATCCATAGTAAATATATGATCATAACTATAGTCTTATAATGTCTGGTGGTAAATGATCAATATGAAATCCAATTTGGTACTATGATAACATTTCTTAATTGAAATATATTCTTCATCTACTTCAGTATATTTAAGATGAAGGTAGAGTTTTATAACAAAAATTATGTGAAAGATTGATTTCTGTTTTTTCACTAAATGCATTTTAAAAAGATACCTGATCAGTTGTACTGATTGTACACTTTATTATTTGAAACTAGTTTAGTTAATGACAGTTAGATAGTAAAATAAGAGATATACACTACTAAATAAGCTGAACATCAGGTTCAATTTAGGAAATCTATTTAATTTAATCATTGGGTATGAATCAATTTTGAATGTCTAATCTTTAATGCCAATCAAATTATTTCAACACATTGGAAAATTGTCTTCTCTGTTTAGAACATTTAGTAATTTACGTACGTAACAAAATGTGATTTGTTGTTCTATTTTAATTACAGCTTAATACTTAATATATATCTCGAAACTAAATGAGTAGTAGAGATGGATGGTGGCTAACAGTGAAATCCAAATCATTCGTTGAGTTCTATTTGGGACTTGTACCTGGTTAGAGTCTCAGAGTGGACATGAACTCTGACATGCTGATAAATTCAGCTGACGAACCCCAAATAGAACGAAGCTTGTGTTCTTCAATCCACTGTGAACTACCTTTCATCTCTGTTTAAAATGCTTGTAAATTATTGGTAATATCGAGGCAATCCTCTTCGGATGTGAATATTTCGATCCTCATTATCAATTGAAAATACAAACAACAATTATACATGAATTAGTTGAGTAATGGGAAGCTCTAAAAGATGAAATTGTTTTATACTCAATCAAAATGATTTAATTAAGATCTTTAATATTTCCAATACGTAGGACTATTCATTTTATAGAATAAAGTTTCGTGTTAAAACCACCTTGTTTGTACAAAATATACGCCACTCAAGATAAATTGTCTTTCTTTTATAAATGAATACGAGGATAGTAAGTTTAAAGGTTGAAGAAGCAGTTGTATATTCAATCCCGATATTATTATACAAACGAATATTGAACTTTGACACCTTTTTAAGTTAAGAGTTCCTGAAAAACGAGTACACATTTAGCATAAACATAAAGTATTGATGAAATCGACTAAGGAAATAACACAGTATCATATTTATTATTATGATCATTGCAACTCACGTGAATTTGGATGATAACATTGATTAAAGTCATGATAGTCAATCTCACTATACCATGTCTGTGAAACCTCTTCACCTAAAAAATTTATAGTGAGAAACACATAACAATAATATTCAGTAGGTTACTAAATGATCTGCATATTTAGTTAAAAGAAATAACGATTGTAGAATATATTTCATAATCTGAAAACATATAGTCTTTTACTTCCAGTCTGTTGGATGATTGTAAAAGATTATAAGCAAAGATGAATTGTAACTGGACATATCTGTACTAAATTACTGATGATTATGCTAAAGTTAATCTGAAAAACTCGAAACTTCAAATGATCTTCTTATATCACTATTTAATTAACGTACGTTTGAATCACAAAATGGTATTTATTAGTTAGATTATTAATTAGCAAAGTCCTAATATCTAATATAAGTATATTAAATTATTAGACACGATTAGACTTAGTTTTCATATTCTTTGATATTAGTCAACCAACTGTTTTCATTGAATAAGTTGTGATTGGGAAAAAACAATCTAGATCCAGAACTTCTTTCTGATTGCCATAATCACTCAGGTAACATACTAACTGATAAACTTGAAATTCAATTGTCCCAATTGATGTCTGTATACTCGATGGTCTAGAAACAAAATGTAACTTTTATTCAGTACTATTGAGTTCTTAACAATTCATTGGTTGTAGTCGAAACATCTTATCTTAAAAATATTAATATTTAAACCCGATCCTTTCAAAGGCATCTATAACATTAATCTAATATTTGATACTAGTGTGGTGCATGCTACTGATGTCGACAGATATAAGTAGTATGTATCACTAGTCGAAAAAGAAATGCCTGGAGACAGAAGGTTAAGAAGACCAAAGAAAAAAGAGCGAGAAAAGAGAACGATTAGTGTGTAAATGAAAGAAAAATGAAGTCTGAGACAATTGATTGGCATTTTGTATGGTTGTATGTTCTCAGATTTTACTAAATGATTCTGTAATTTCGTGTTTAAATACATTCGGTTGTCTCAATTGGTGTTCTCGTTCACCACACTAGTATCGATCCAAATAAAATGTATGCATTAAAACCAATTTGATCAGCTTCTATATCGCATTTCCATAGGACAATCCACAATCATGTGTATAACAAATGAAGTATCAATAATTACAAGAAATAACAGTTTACAGTCGTAAAATGAAAAAATTTCTTAAATAAAGTTTACATTGTAAAACATTTGACAATTCATATTACATTCATTATTTAGTAAGTTCTATTACATTACTGTCATTCATATTATTAAAATACAATAATATTCATTCATCATTTGAATGATCATGAATTTGAGGTCAACATCAGATGAGTAAAACTATTTCTTAATAGTGCATACTGTTCTCAATACTGACCAATAAAAATGAATACCAATTTAATCTATAATGTATTATGATAAGCAAAGATGAATAATGGCTAGCAGTGAAATCCAGGACTCGCGTTTCGTCCTATTTGGGGCTCGTCAGCTGGATGTATCTGCCTATCAGATTTGATATTCACTCTGGGACTCAAACCCAGTAGCGTTCGCATCAAATGCCATCGCGTTTCCATTTTTTTACTAAGTTATGATAAACACTTGCTAGCGCAATAAAGTAAAGTTTATATTCACTTAGTATTGTTAACTTGAATCTTCCGATTGATGTTTAGGACTGCGATTGATCAGTCTGTTAATGGCATATGTGCATACTGTGCGCATCGCCTCGATATTGCCACAATTTACAAGCATTATGACCAAAGATGGGGCAAAGATGATGCGATCCGTATTGGGTTCGAGTCCCGGAAGGAACATCAACCCTGGGATGCAGGTACATTCAACTGACGAGTCCCAAATAGAACGAGGCGTGCATTTTGGATTCCACAACAAGCCAATACCTATCTTTGCTTATGATGCTTGTAAATTAAGGCAATATTGAGGCAATACACACAGTATGCACATAAACCAATAAGAGACCTATTGTAGTTCTAAACATCAATGGGAACATTCAAGTAAACGATACCAAGTGAATGTATTGGTATTTGTTATCTAATTTTTTCTACATTAAACAGTTTGTATCAAATTAAGGCTCTCTTTAAAACTCTGTCATCAAAGCTAAGAATCTGACCACTGGTTAGTAAATAACAGAATAGCATAGCAAAGTGCCTGTTTCACTTACTACAATCAATCGAGTATACATAATTGTTATTGAGTCTATGTTTTAAAGATTGCTTTAAGATGAATAACTATTAAACCTCGATGTTAATATCAGTTTAATTTCATAATGATTAATGAGAAAAAAACAAATTGGAAAAAAATTTAAGGAAACATATTATATTTAAATCGAAAAATTGAATAATGATAAATATACTCTCAGTGATAACTTAATGAGTAAAAAATTGTATTTCTGACGTTTTGTGACCTGATTTAAGCCACTTCTTCAGAATAAAGAAAACCTTGGGATATAACAAACAATGTATTTTAATAGTTGAAATCATGAGCCAATCAAACCTAGACCACCATTGAAAACTTGGAAGCACTGAACGGCCGTTTCGTCCCAGTATGAGACTCTTCATCAGTGTGCATTCACGCGAGATTCGAACCCAGAACCTATCAGTCTCGCACTGCCGAGGAGTCCCATACTAGGTCAAAATGGCCATCCAGTGCTTTCAGGTTTTCCATAGTGGTCTAGCTCCAATTGACTCATGATTTCAACTATTGAAATTTCTAAAATCTCCCCTAAACCCCTTCTGAAAACAATATATTTATTATTTAATTTCTATCCAATGCTCGATTTATTTGAAACTATCAACTCAAATCTTGGCATTGATACTAACAAACTGAATAGTAAGATGTTCATTGTGAGAATTAAATGTCATGGAATAGTTTTAGTCATAAGTACTTACTCTAGAAAAGTCTCGAACCTGAGATAATACTTTTGTTTATTCTTCCCGTATGATAACAGTATGTGATGATATTAGCTCTTAAATGTAAGAAATCTTTACGAACCAATTATTTGAGAAATATGAATAAATGATAAATAGTGACTAACTATGCATTTATTGTCGTTAACTTGATGTATTTTATGACGACTACATTTTAAAAATAGGATACATAAACTACCAAGTTAGTAAGTATTCGAAATCAGTAGCTTTTAGGATGACATTTTAACGTTTTAACGGACAAATACTGGGTTCGAGTCATGATGAGGATACCCAGCTGTGAAGTTTCAGATAGGAGGGTTTTAGTGCTATTCAAAAGCAGAATATAGAAAAAATACGTCACTGACAAATTGCCAACAACTCAATCTCCTCACGATGCATATGTTTGAATGGAATCTGACTACTTCGGTCCATAATAACAACAGAGGAAATATATAAATCCTTACAAATATCATCAAGTTATATTTGTTCATTCTATTTAGTGATTAAATCACCATGAATAGATCACTAATTCATGGAACTAACAGAATGGTGTGGGGAAAAATAGTTGTAGAATTGGAGGTAACGCTTCATTATAGTCTAAATTACATTAAAAGCACAAGAAATTAGTAATTATAAATAATCTAACTGAAACGGATCTAATTGAAATCATAATTTTAACAGCAGGATTAAAATTCATAGCTGTTGCACAAGAAGACGACTACCTGGACTCATTAGATAAGTAGTGTTGAGTTAACACTCGAGGCGAAAGGCGCTGAGTTAGAACTCCGTAGTGGATATCAACTGTAGACATCCAGGTACATGCAACTGACAAGTCTTAAACAAGGGAGGATGCACGTTCTGGATTCCACTATTATCTGAATTCCATTTATTCTATGTAGATGTTATTTAAATAACTGATTTGCAAATTTTAGTTTAATTCAAGTTAGATTTCATTAAAGATTAATACCAGATGATGAGATTTGTTATTATTTTGACTGAAACAATAATCATTAATCAAATCAACTGACGCACTTGATCAAAAATCAGTTAAAGTGGTATATGTAGGCAACTGTTAATCAAACTGGAAGACTGGAGATATTATAAACACTTTGATAACTAGAGATCTAGAAGACGAGGAAGTCTAAAAGTCCTTAACTAGGATCCATAGTTCAGAACAAAAATAACCATCAAATCGACATTCCAAGTTATGATCAGTGATTCTATTAATTATCACACAGTTTCGAGAGAAAACTCATTACTAAATCTCTGAAATGAATCCTTAATAACAGTTGGATAATCAGAAGTGTAAACAGTTTATGCCACGAATATGTTACGAATAAGAACAAAATCCAATACACACTTTGTTTAAAATAGAATTTCTAAATTACTATGATTTCATTTTAATTAAACAAAATAATAACAATCCCTACATATAACAAACTGTTATTACCTGTTATTTGACATGGTGCCGTAGACATTTTAAAAGCCAAATTCTCTCCATAATCATTATAATTACTATGATATAATTTTTCAGCATCAGCTAAATTTTCAGCCCATTTTTGTGCTGAAATCATTAATTCTTCATCTAATTGAAGTTCTCCACATCCATGTAAAGAACGAAGTCTTTAAATAATATAAGATATAAATTATAATTATATTATGCAATACATTATTCAATTAGAAATCATAATAGCAATTATATGCATCATGATTTACATTTTTTATAATATGATGCAACTCTATTTAAATTCACCAGAATAGTGTTGAATAAGACGTATTAGTGTGGTTAGAATGCATCAGTTTACTAATATTAGCATAATATAATAATAATAATGTAGCCTATTTACAGTGAATAGATTCATGTGCTCAGCTTTATGCCGCATAGTTTGTGTGATAGTACCCAAGAACCGAAACCAAATAAGATAAAACTAGGTTTGAACCTATAGGTTGAAAGCTACTATATCAACTTTTCATCTACTCAAAAGATTGTCTTTAAATTACACCTTAGATACATTAATATAATGATACAAATAACTCCATATTAACCTAAAAGAATCATTTGATAACATTAAATATTAGTTCACTTGGTATTGTTTGGCTTGTATCTTCCCATTGAGGTTTAAGACTGCAATTGATCATTGCACAAGCAAGTGGCTATTAGGACTCGGTAGCTGAGTGGATAACGCGATAACGTTTGAAGCGAATGGTACTTGGTTCGAGTCCCAGAGTGAACACCAACTCCGAGATGCAGATACATCCAGTTGATGAGTCCCAAATAGGACGAAACGCACGTCGTGGATTCCACTGCTAGTCACTATCCATCATTGCTTATTAAATACTAGTGTTATCATTTATCTGGATTGTATATTTTATTCCTCTAGAAATCAATCATTCGAATGAAATCAGTTTCCAATATTTCAAAGATTTCAGTATGAATTTAACATTCCTACTAAATTTTTCTCAGTTACTAACCCCTTCCAAAGATAGAATCATTCATCAAATTATTTAGAGATAGCTTGAATTTTTACAGATAGTACAATTTATTCATCCAAGAAAGTACAATGAAACAAAAATGTATTTCAACTTTTGAATATCCGTAAATCACTTTATTATTGAACTAACAATCCAAGTTTTAACTGGAGAAAGTATGATTATTTTCACAATTTAACCATTATGAAGTTAATTTATGAAATGACTTAATCTAATATGATAAGTCTACTTATATCAAGATATGTTGAACAGATACTTTGTTCTTATATGAGATTCTTTCTTCTTACTTTACATCTATAATATCATCACTGAAGGCAGCATGCTTGAATATTTGGGCTACCTATTGTTGCCAACTAAACATTTCAACAAGTTATCTATTTTCTTGTTTGTTTTAAGAGATCATTATGCTTATTACTCGTATAATATGTTCAGTTAAGAAAGAGCACAATTAGAAATATTTTGGTTGCTAGCAATATATTATCGAAAAGAATATACATTAATTAGACGTTAATTATTGAACTGTTAACATCTAATTGGTGAGTATTCAATATTTATCTCAAGGATCGATCAAGAAATAAGAAAAGGAAACTTGTTGAAATACTATGAGCTGAGAACACTATATTGTACCAAAAATATAATATTGAATAAAGCCAATAACAATAATCACAATCATTCCTACCCTTAGAAATCTATGGAACTCATATCAGCTATTATATCAATACATTCATATATACATATAAAAACTGTGTCCTAGACAATATGTGAAAATACAAGTTGATAGAATATATAAATGTATAAATATAAACTATAACAGATATATTTCAATTGACTTATGATTTCAACCAGTGAAATTTCTAAAATCTACACAAAATCCGTTCTGAAAATAATCATCTGCTCACTAGTGACTGACTTCAAGAGATACTCCTGGAGTTCTAGTGAGAAGCCGTTAACAGTGAAGTTCAACCAGATCTGTTGTGAGATATCAACTCAACATCGTGATAACTGTATATTTCCGATTTTAGAATGAATTATATTTCATACAATATTGAAAATACTACTGTTTATTTCAAGGAAACAATATATGTATATATTATCAAATAAATTTAATATCATTATCTCAATGAATATTCAGATTGGTTCTATGAACATTAATGTTACAAAAGAATCGGTAGTGGTCATAGATCTAATGTTTTAGATAATCATATTAGAAGTTCTAAAATCCACCACAAACAGTTTTGAATTGCTTCATTGCTTCTTTAGATAAATTTAAAATTTGTGATATGTTATGTGAAATGGAAATACAAAATCTTGCTTATTTTGTAGTATTATTTTGAATAAAGCCAGAACGAACATTAATGCAGAATGATATGACTTCATTATGTTTCGTGGTTTCTCATCAGCTGATTACAACTAGATATGTAATAGAATTCTACATTGAGGTAAGATATGATGTGGAATAATTGACATAAGTGAATGTAAAGAATTGGAATGACAAAGGTCACCAATAATAACTATATATACATGTGTGCAAGAGCAGGTCAGATGTTATTTGGTGTTAGAATTAAGGAAACATTGGGGAAGTGTGGTGTAATAGTTGAGTGAAGTTCAGAGACAGATAAGATAAATTATGTGATAATTTTAGAAGTAATAAAGGGTTTACATGATATTTATGAAATTAAAATAAACTGGTAAGATGGGTTGCATAATAATTGGATAGGATTTAAAGAGTTTACAAGGGCTCTTAACGGTGCAACAGCTTGGCGTTTACTTGACACACGGCATACCATTGACATCCCTCATGCTTTTAAAATTATTAACAGACAAAGAAATACTGCTTCTCTCCATTTCGCTGAAGCGATCGCGATAAAAACTCAAACCTGATCTATGTATTCAAAAAGAGATAGTAATAAACCTATTACTACCCTAGTAATTGGTCATTAGTTCTATTTTGTTAACGTTTAGTTTGGTATATTTCTTTTCTATTACCGAATTCTTAAACCACCCCATGACTCATACATTTCCACCCACTCGATTCTCATAAATTATGTAAACTCTTTAAATCCTATCCAATTATTATGCAACCCATCTTACCAGTTGGTTTTTTAATTCCATGAATATCATGTAAACCCTTTATTACTTCTAAAATTATCACATAATTTATCTTATCTGTCTCTGAACTCCACTCAACTATTACACCACACTTCCCCAATGTTTCCTTAATTCTAACACCAAATAACATCTGACCTGCTCTTGCACACATGTATATATAGTTATTATTGGTGACCTTTGTCATTCCAATTCTTTACATTCACTTATGTCAATTATTCCACATCATATCTTACCTCAATGTAGAATTCTATTACATATCTAGTTGTAATCAGCTGATGAGTAACCACGAAATATAATGAATTCATATTATTCTGCATTAATGTTCGTTCTGGCTGTATTTAAATTCGTAAACGGAACTTATTGCATGAAACAGTATTATGATAAACTTCTTATACTCTCTACTTGCATCTATATAAAGATTAAAAAATATCTGAAATTCATTCTATTATATTACCAAACAACTCAAATGATACGAAACTTATTGAAGATTTAAATCGTTTATTTATCCATTCTACTAGATGATTTGTACTACAGAGATTATTCCGGTAAGTCACTATGACTAATTATTAGCCTCATTGAAAAGAAAATAATAATGATTTTATTTCAAACCTAAAAAAAAATGTTTGTTTTAAATTGTGAATCCTCCAAATGTCTGTAAACATTTATCTGATTCAATATTGTGAAATGTATAAACCCGTGTTACTCAGAAAAATGATCTATTCAAACATTATTCTGTAACAGAAATAGATAATCGATGTATTCATCAACTCAATAAATGCGATACAGCAATGATTTATTTACTGATCAACCTAGTGCTGCTGGAAGACAACATGGAAATTTGTGTGATGTTCCTGAATAAACATACTTCGTATTACTATCCAAATCAAAAGTAATTTTATGATCTGCAACTATCAAGACAACTAATTGTTGATATGGTTTCCTTACCATGGCTTTTTGCCAAAAATTTACCACCTTAGTTAAATAAAGATTAACTCAACTATTGTAAAGAGTGACGTAACCACATTAACAAAGTAACCTCTTAGCATAACAGAAATATTCATATACTGGTTAATGTGTAATACAGAAATTAGTTTCTAGTGAATTATAACAATTTATTCATGTAATCTTTATGGAAAACCGACCGCTCCTTTAGTATTCTATCAAGATAATAGTTATAAACTAATATACTGTTAAGTCTTACTAAAAACTATTACTTAGGCGATGACGCCTAAAAGTATTCCGATAAAACCTGACATTCTACAATAAATTTGTAGTCATCTCTTAAGGAAAAATTACCAATTAATAATATAATGGAGATTTGTAACTCTGGAGTTTACTTCTCTAAGCTGAATGTTTTTAATTGTAAAGTTTCCATTATTCTTCTGGACAATAATAATAATATTATTATTAGCATAAATTCCGAGTAGAAGTCGGAATCTACACAATTAAACATTTCAGCTCATAGAAGTAAACTTCATAGGAAACCTGCTTAAATATCTGCTCTACCTGTTTATACCATTTGCATATTTCAACAAGTTATGTTTTTAAAAAAAATTTAATGCATCATTATGTTTAATAATCATATAACCTATTCAGGTGCGTTTGTAGAAGGTTTAAAAACTTTCTCTGTATGATATGACTTCCTACAGCTTACACGAATTCACCCATGGACCGTCCTTACACAGTACAATTTACAACTATGTACAAACTGAGACATCATGGTGTCTGACAATATACATTAAAAAGAATGAACATTATTCAGATATCGATTCTTGAACTGTTAACATCTAACTGGTGATCATTCAATATTTATCGTTGGGTTTGATCAAGAAATAAAAAGACGTAGCTTGTTGAAATACATTGTGTTAAGACCTCTCTCTATATTGTACTAAACATATAATATCGAATAAACCTAATGATAATACTAATGATTTTAAAGTAGACAATCACCATATTAGTAATAAAACATCAAATTAACTAGTCACTTACCGATTATGTTCTCGTATAGCTTGTTGATTAAAACGTTCATTAATCATCCTAATTTAATGATTATTACTATGAATATATCTTTAGAAAAAATAAAGAAAAGAAAAAGAAACAGAATGAAAGAAATTAAAAACAACAAAAAATAAGACCATAGTAACTATTGAATTTCTCTGAATACTTTTCGTTATTATAATAAACAAATAATATTGAATAAACAATAATCATAATTATCACTACAACTACTATTTCATGAATTTACAAAAAAACAAACAAATAAACAACCGAATCACTTTTTTTCAATAAAATTTCCATTTAAATAGTTCATTTTACTAAACACAAGGTTATAATAATCATTACTATTACTATTATTATTATTATTTGCATTATTATTCGTAAATTGGATATGTGTTTCTTTAGTATACAATTGGCTTCACGTGATTTAAAAAAAAGATCTAATTATTAATTCATTTCTATTGGTTAAAATTGTTTCTATGATCAAAATGTAAAAGAAAAAAAATTATTTTTTTTTATTTTTATGAATTTATTCATTGTTAATATAAAGAAGAAAAAACTCAAATTCATCTTAATGATTGGATTATGTATAAAAAAGAAAAGAAAAAAAGAAAAGAAAGATAGAATAGTAGAAAGAAAGAAAAGGATTTGTAACTTAGAAAGAAAATAAAAGAAGAAAAAATAAAATACTAATCACATACTGTGTAAAACATACAATTACATTTGACAGTTTATTATGAAATACTTATGACAAATACAGGTCATAATGAGTTAGATGATTGTAAAAACTGTAATGATAATAATAATAGTAATAGTAATAATACTAATAATACTTATTATTATGATTATTACCTTCAATATACTTATTCCTACTGAGTTTGTACTGATTTATATAGTTGTAAATATACATACAGATATATGATAATTATAAGGAGAAATATTGCATACAATACATAATGATATTAACTTTAGAATTCATTCTATTGTGTATATATCTGTAGTCTATTACATGAATGACATAGTTTTTTTTCATCAGTATAACTAAAGAGTAAATGAGTAAGTACACGTGATTAGTATTAGAAATCTTTATAGTTAATTGATGAAACATACTGTCAATGATAATAATTTTTACGGTATATTTATACTTTAATAGGAAAATAATATATACTCAAATGTATATAAATATAGGAAGGAAGGATATACAGTAACTTTTCAAGTCTTAGTCAATAAAGAAGAAAGGAATCGAGCAAAAAAATTTCTTTTCAACTAGTTTTTCGTCATGGCTCAACACTAATATATATATATATATATATATATATATATATATATATATATAATACTTATCGCGTAGATACGTTACGTAATAGTTATATAATGACATATCGATTATTATTATTTGAACACATAGGTATTGGTACAAAGAGGCGCTAAATACATATGCGCCACACAGATCTCATTTGATTTGTGTGAAGGCTGTGATACTATCTGGCTGCCCAAACCGAAGCAGGTGGTTTTCTTAGGGGGCCACCCCCTTGAGCCTTCTATCTAAAGGTCTGATCCACAAGGTAGTAGAGCATCGTAAGGAGATGCAGTCCCATTGTAGCCGGTGACTGAAAATTGGTTCATACGCTACTTGTTCCCTCAGGATACTGGAGCTCATGTGCACTATTGGTTTGGGATCAGGATTTTCCAACTCCCCTAAGTGAACTCTCCATGTCCATCAAGCCGGTTAAAGCGCCAGACATTCGCTCTTCGTCCTCTCAATTTCGTAAACAACACCTCCGCCACGAGAGGGAAGTGAGTAGGACTTCCCTGACAGAGGCTATATACACATCGCCATGTGAGAGCATTTCGAGATTGAGAGAGGAATCTTTCCACTCTTGGCCGTACCAGGGCATTTGGGGGCGACATATTGATTATAAATTAACGTTGAGTAATTAGAAAAAAAGCATAATCAATGTAATTATTCGAAAATCAAGCAGTTGCTACGTTGCATAATATATCAAAAGAGAAGTAGGAACTAACAAAATATTTCGATGAATGGTCAGTAGTATGGTAGTTATGTAAGAATCAAGAGACAAACGTTGGGAATAAGTGAAATACAAAAATAAAAGAAATATGAAATTAGTTTATCAAAGTTTTGGTACAAACTTCCCTATGCCGATGACCAAAGTAGCGAGAATGGTTGTACAAACTTCTTTTGGATGCAAAGATTTGGTTTATGAACATGGATTTCAATGACTTCAGTAATGTAAGAAAAAAATCTCATAAACCATGCGGCGAATTTGATGGAATATGGTGGATAACCTTAGAAGGTTTATTCAGTTCAACTTGATGGTATGTGTCCACTACGTGAGCGAGAATAAAACGCCTAATCACACTTACCTATCCTTTGCTCAACAAAGACAGATGGTGTTCTTTTTTGTGATGACTGACTTGCCGAATGGTAAGCCCCTGGGTTCACAGGAGTAGTAGAATTGGTAAATACACATGGATGTGGCGAATTCAGGCAATCTGTCTTTATTGACCGTTCTTATTATTGAGCGGTTGCATTAAATGTTTTCTGTACCGCCTTTCTTAACCTCTGATTCACATAGTGTCTTTTTGATTTCTCTTCAAAGTAAATTTAGGCCTATCATTTACTAAATTTTAATTTGACCTTTTAGTTGTCCTGCTAGATTCTTTTCAACAGAACTTTTAGAATTGATTATACTGTATAGATGATATCGGGTTATCTTTGTCACGAAACATATAGAGTATTATAAACCTTTAAATAAACGTTACATAACGCTTCAAGATATGCATTGATTATGAGAAATAGTGATAATGATTTGTTTGCAATTAGTTCCAGTCAAAGTTATGTCACATAAAAGCAAAAATTTTAAATTACAATGAACTGCTTACATATATATATATAAGGATCACGAGAAACGAAGGTCGGTACGTTTCTCATTCTACTTCTACAAAACATTCAGGATGTGTCAGTGAATTTCAGTAGTTTTTTTCTATTTTTGTTATAATACATTTATCAAAGGTAACAAAACTATATTGATAAGAAAATAAAAAGGAAAGTATTTGGAAAACTTTATCCTATTACGTTTTTTAAAAAGTATTTTCATTCAACAAATGAAATTTAACAATGAGCAACTGATTCTAAACACAACGTGATTGTATGACTTCTTTCTCAAGGGGAATTTTTAATTTCGTAGAGTAGTTATCAACCAGGACTTAATATCGCACTGAGCTGTTTTCATATGATATGAAAATTCTACTCAAACAGTCTAACAAAGTGCTAAAACCTTCTCAAGTTAACTCCAATTGTCTTTACCTATTTATTTATAACTACATTTACAAGCAGTTAAAAAAATAGTTTTATCTGAAAGGGTTTCTGGATCCATATAAAAAATGATGTCAGTTAATATCCACTAATCCTGAAGTAGTACCGTAGAGAGATATATCATGGATAAAATAGGTTTCAATACAGTTTTAGAAAAATAGAGAATACCAGAAGCTATTCGTTATTTTTACTCCTATTTTGAATGATCTTACAAATGTTTGACGAGCTTTATACGACAAATAACCTTTGCAAACACCATCCATTCTCATTGTGAGTTAGTGGGAATTGTTGAATTTTAATGAAATCATGAACCAATTTCAGTCAGACAACTACTGGAAACCTGGAAGCATTGGAGGAGTCTGATACTACGGTGTAATGTCTGTCCAGTGCTTCAAGGTTATTCATTCTGTCTACATTACTTAAGTTAATGACAATAATACCTTTATTGTTCATTTTAGTCAAACTACAGTTTCTAATTTAAAATTAATGTTATAGTAGACCTTATTATTGTTCCCATTAATCCATTAAAATATTTGACATGTTTACCAATTTAGCTATTCACACGTCTGTATCTTTTCATACTCCCTTCGAATAACTTAATACTTAACACGGTAGAATAAAGCATCACTAGAGACCAATGAGTACTGCATAGTCGTTTTGTTTTAGTACACGAATGCTTATTAGTGCACGTTCATAAATCTGCCACCATAGAACGAACACATGAACTTCAGTCTCACCCAAATACTTAAACTCTAGACAACTGAGCCAGCATCTAATGGTTGCGTGCTGCTGACCAGTTCTATTTATTTCTGATTTTCAGTAATGTTCTGTCAAAATCATTCTGTGAATAACTTTGAAATTGCGAAATCTTCATAGAAGTAAATTTAACTATACCCCATGTGTATATATGAAGTTATAAAGTTGATTATTCGTGAAATGAACGAAATAGTAACCTAAAGGATATTTATCTACTCATAAACTAAAAAGCTCTATGAATGTTATATACAAAGTTGCATTCGTAAAACTACGAAATATAACATTCTCCATAAACCCTATTTACCAGTGATAATCATGTACTCTCTATTAACCCCTTCCATAAGGCGATTTACGAAGACCTATTAACAACCCATGTTTAATAGAGTTCAATCTAAGACAAGTATTCACAATGACAATGAATGTTGGTAGCATAATATCACAAATTTACTAAAGTTAGACATATAAACAATTGAGTGGTAACTCAGTGATCTGAAGGTTAAAATTTTAAAATGATTCTTGAAGGTTTTAGGTATTATTCTTTAGAGAGATATTTGATAGGCACTGATGATGTGTCTTATACTTAAACTAATGCATTTTCTAATGTTTCTTAGTTCCTAATGAGTACCTCAATATGAGTTAACACTTGACGAATATCGTATCGGTTATGGTATGATCTACTTATTCGAGTTAATCATTACCTTTAAACTAATTACATAAACAACATTTAATTTAAAAGTACTTCACTTTTTAGTTCTATCATATTTCTATCAATTGTATTTATACTATAACTACAAATCCGTTAAGAAAATCACAAAATATACACCTGATAGTATACATCAGTTTCTATGTAGAAATATTTGATATTCAAAATGTTTCATTATTATCCTATTCATATTTAAATTACCCCCTTCTTACAATAAATGATAAAACTGATGATTAAATTGA